GCCAGGCACTGCCAGTTTGCCAGGCACTGCCAGTTTCGATTCGATCAGCTCAATTTTGGTATCATTCGACGATGAATCACAAGGCTCAATCAATGATATAAAAATTGAGCTGATCTGATGAAAACTAACGGTTTGACTAGGGTACTTTCCTCAAATAGATGCGCTTTAGAAAGCGCGTTACTTGAGAAGAACACACTCTAAAATGACTGTGATATCGTGCTCGTTTTGTTATGAAGCTCGTGTTCAAAGTTACAGTACCAAGTTATACTAATCCCTATTACTGTATCACAATCAAAACGCAACTTTGGAACTAGATAAGCTAGCTTTTTCAGTGTGGTTGGTATTTGAGAAGAATTTCAGTCTTGAAAAGCAACTTTTAGGTTCGCCCATAAGTCTTTAGACACTTTTTTTCTACTAGCGTTTATAAATCGCAAATTCACCAATTGACCTACAATTGACTCCATTAGAAAGGTCTACTATTTTTCTACAAAATAACGTTAGAATTTTATGAAAATGTTTTGTTTATGGTTTTTTATGGGGCAAAGACGGGTAGTCAAAAAAGGCGACGACTCGAAGACGCAATTTAGGCGCTTTCGTCCACAGAAACCTATCTTGGTGTCATTAGATAAAAGATAGAGCGCAAAAAGTTAGGTATATAGCCGAATTTTCAGGAAAATCTGTTCAGCCGATTTCTTTGTAGAGTTTTTTATCGAATTTTACGAAAAACTATTTTTGCACTTGAATTTGCTTGGAAAAGGAGCTAAATTTTCTTAAAAAGATAGAAAAGTGAATATAGATATATATAGATATATATAGATACTTTATTCATGATCTGAGATAAAGTGCGCTAGGTTTAAAATATTAAAACCCATGAATGCATACACATAACACGAAAAGGGCCGATAAAAAGCAACACGATAAAATCTATGTAATATAGGGGTACCACAGATAACGTCAAGAATCCACTAAAGCTTCATCTTCTACAGATCAAGATCATCTACAGATAATTTCGAGACTATTGGACTCTCTCAAAGCTCTGGGGAGTCGATTCCAAATGCTGGCAGTTCTTATTGGAAAAGAGTTATACACAAACTTATTTCAGGTGACTGGAATTTCTAAAATTTTCTAAAAATAATGTTAAACATTTTCTATTTGGAGCAAAACCGTAGGTTAATTGGTGAATTTTTTATTTATAAACGCTAGTAGAAAAAAAGTGTCTAAAGGCTTATGAGCCTAATAAAACACCCAATTTTTGGTCAACTCATTTTTCTTTTTTTTTCATTTCAAGTCATTTCTTCAGCAACAACAAGCTAGCAGCTGTTCATATAAAGCTTAAGATCTAAAGTAGAAAAGTTATTTGTCTGACTATGAGTTAAATGCTTAACTGTAATCAGCTATTATTTAATATTAAATCTACTCACCGATAGCCGCCACAATCGCTGCACAAAGATGCCAGATCATTGCTTGAATATCTAAAGGGTCCTTTCCGAGGATCAAAATCACCGTCAATCTTTCTCCTATAAATACTCAACCACTCAATGAGTCAATATTTATTCTTTAGAAGCCATTGGCTACCCCGAATTTCCCACTGAGGTGTCATTCCAACTATTTGAGACGACTGACTTCATGAAAAGCGTCTTTATTTGTTCATTAGTCATAAAGAAAGCAAAAATCTTTCAATTTTCAAAGACAGTTTGAGTTTTGGATTTATGAACAAATGAATTTTCAAATCCTGGCAAAAAAGCAAAGAGCAAAAAAGGAAAGAGGAAGGTCCCGGGGAGATTTGAACTCCCGTCGCAGGATTCAGAGTCCTGAGTGCTAACCGCTACACCACGGGACCGCGGGACGAGGGTGTTCAAGAGAGGCTTTCATAAGAGAGGTCTTTGGTCGCCGATAAAGGCTGATTGTTCCTTCAACAATTAGGAGTTTCGAGGAAAGTCTACTCATTTAAAATTCAGTTATTGTACGCAAAATTATCTTAAAAGTCTTTTCGTCGTATAATCAAAAAATACCCATGTTTTGATAGAATCTCAGAGAAAAATCAAATTTTGAGGGCAAACAGCTTTTTAGTACTTACCATAATACCGTACATTTCAGGTATATCGTGCTAAATTCTATTTAGTTTCACTTCTGCATAGATTTTAGCAACTAAATTGTGTGACCTGCAATTTATTAGATAAACTTGTTCAAAAACCCGTGACAAGAAAACAAACAACTAATCCCAGTAGCAAACACAGAAAGCATCACATGACACGTGCTAACAACAAAATGTGAATCAAATTGTCGATTGAGGATCGATTAACGAGATGACACCACCGACAAGATGAAGACTTCCCGTTACAAGCACATCCAATGGGAATTCACGGCTCATCTTCTCAATCGCAGAGATTGACGATTGAATGCACGGAAAAGTGTGGCACTCCTGAAAACAAATTTGTGGTGATGAAAGATTTAAGCAGAGATTTGGTCCTACTTTTACACCGTGCTAAATTCTATTTCTACACCATTCTTTTGGTTTAACGCTTACAAATGATATAGGTATGATCAAAAATCGATAGCTTTCGGCTTTTGTCCAAATCTTTTAGTGTCAATCTTTTCGTTCTTACCGTTTTTGAACTAATCTCCTTCCAAACATTGCTCGATTCAATACTCCTCATGCAGGCATTCTTCACGTCTTGGTTGAAATTCATCTGATCCGATTTCGTGTCCAAAACAGTGCTCACAACAGTCGGGCAGAAAAGGGCAAAGTCGAAGTCGAGATCCTAAATTAAAATTTTTGCACAATAAAAGGTACTTCCGCATCTTTGCCCCGCCAACCAAAACAGGATAAATGCAAATCCCCCCGCACCTCTCTAGTTTGATAAAGATGAGAGGAAAATAGCATAAATGACTTTATTAGATTTATATTCATTAATTCTAGCACAAATCAATTCAAAACCCTATCAAAACTAGGATAGAACATACTAAAATTCAATGATGAAGTAAGATGCCAAAGATCAATTTGCACATTAACTTGTTGATGGGGCAAAAATACGAAAGTACCCAATAAAACACCAGAAAATTAGCCTCTCAAACTTTAGATCTACGTCAATACCTATCACATGTAAACTAACCCACCTTCAAATACGGTAACAAAGTTTCGGGTTTTCGGTCAGCGGTGCAATGAAAAAGTAAGATTCTTTTTTTTCTTTGCGATTCTTTAGAAACAGTCGTCGAGAACCAACGTGCACACATCTAAAACTCGAACTTTTTTTCACCACATTACCCTCACCTCAATTGACTTCGGTGTATGAGCTCCATCGAGGTAAAAACATGAAGAACCTTTCTCAATAATCTAGACATGCGGATATTAATATATATATATATATATATATAAGGGAATTTTAGACCTGACTTCGTCCAGCCCAATGACAGCTTTCAATTGCTTGGTGAAGAATTGGAGGAACATGGAAAGGCTCGCCGGGACTCCAAGATCGTTCAGTGAATATATCTTCTAAAAAGGTTTATCCATTAGATCTTATGTCATTAAAACTAATCTTTGTTATTTTTTTAATCTCAAAGTGAAAATCAATACCTTTATGACTAGTGTTTCTTAACCATGTCCGCACCACTTGTAGAGCCAGCGAGACGTTGTGCTTCTGATGATCGCCTGATATTCCCGGATGCAACTCGCCATCTATTTGATACTCGTTCAATGGTGGACTTTCGGCCAATATTGAAACCTAAATACTTTATGCTTTTATATCTTGATGACTTTCTTTTGTTTTTTTTGTGTAAATAATAACCTTCCGTTCTTCAGCTCGTGTTTGCATCACTTCAAGGCTAATCGGTGAAACATCGGAGACAATCGCGGGAGAACCAGATTTGAATATTCCGGCCTAGACGCAATTACAAACCATGTAACTTTTATCATTAAAGCTTGACCTATTGCAAAAATTTTTTTAGTTTAATGGTAAGAAAAAACCGCTGTTCAATTTGCTTACCTTATGCCAAGCAATCTCCTTAATCGTTGTTCCAAGTAGCGATGTGTGATCGTAGTCGAGAGTGGTCACCGCGCAAACTTTCGGCTTTCTAGAGAACATAATTCGTAATAAAATTGGAAAATGTCTAACTCACTGAACAACATTTGTGCAATCATATTGACCCCCAATTCCGACTTCAACAACTGCTACATCAACCTAAATATCAAAAATTGAAAAGCTAAAGTTAAACTTAAATTTTGAAAATGTTGGCATATGCCTATTGAGCTTTTAATAATCTGACCTTTTCTTTGACGAACACATCAAAAGCGAGTATGGTCAAAAATTTGAAGTAAGCCGGCATTGATAAATGATCGCTTTCTTGTACCTAAAAACAAAAATGTTAAACTTTCAATTTTGAACAATGCACCTCAATACTAATTCAACCCACCGCTTTTGTCACTTTATCGTGGAGAGCGAAGAGATTTTCGGCAAAAGATTCCTGCGAAATCGGAGTTCCGTTGATTCGAATCCGCTCACGAGCATGCACCAAATGCGGCGAACTAAATTTCTTAATTGATGCAGCAAAAAATATTTTCTGTTTGCCTGTAAAATCCTGTTTTATACCCAAGCGCTCGAAGCATCGATTCAATGAAGGCACACGTTGAGCCCTTTCCTTTTGTCCCACTCACATGAATGACGTTGAGGCGATTAATGTCTTCTGGCTAAAACTGTTAAAGATTATGACAAAAACAAAAATCTTTTTCTGATAATTGAGAAATCAGTGAAATTAAAGTTTTACTTAGGTTACAACCTCAACATAGTTTTACTTTATGTTGCACATTAATGTTCTGACAAGTCATCAAAATACCTGTATTCCGCAATCTCGCATAATTTCCACCATTTCTGGCACATTGTTCGCTTGAAAGAGATCTCTCTTCTCGCGCATCTTTTCGATTGTTTGGGCATTTGTTTGGAGTGAATTGAGCCGAGCAATTGCCGCCTAAACAAACAAAAATAATTGATTCATTTAAAATTAGATTTACAATTTTTTAAAAATTGACCAAATTTAACAAGTGTCATAAAGAAGTGTCGTGCCACTCCTCACATTAAACAATAAGTCAAATACAATCGGAAGTTTTAGATTTTACGGATCAAGTGTTGATAAAATGCTACCTTATCCGAACTTAATATAATAAAAAATTAATAAATTTAAATATACACTCAAAGCCTAACCTGATAATACTCTTTCGAAGCCTCATGGTAATCGCCGCTTCCAGTCGTTTGCATGTTGTGTCGAGTGATCGGGCGATGGCTCGAGGAAGTGGATGAGAGACGGAGAGATGCGCGGATTGGTTTGACGAGATGTTTCGTGGAAATCACATGGGCGAAAGATGAGCGGAGGAGGGGAGAGACGAGAAGAGACGGCCAAATCAACGAGCAACAACACTTCGACACGCCGCGACACGTTCCGATGATCAACATCCAGAGAGAAATCGCATTTCTAAAAAAAAATACATTTTGTGCAATGGAAGAAAAAATCGCGAAATAAACACAAAGAATGAAGCCAGTTGGAAAAAAAGTATTCAACACTCTTAACGTTAGAAAGGTTTTATTCATGAAATTAGAGGTAAGGCCAACCTTTTAAGTTCTAGAAGAGGCTCATTTCATCAAATATGTATATATAATGCTCCTCCTGGCTTTGTTTGGGGATGGCTAGGGGCTGAAAACTTCCATTCTAGGGAAAAATAAATTATGAAATTTAAGGGGGGATTCAAAAAAAAAAGTGGGGAAAAAAAAAAAAAAAAAGTCGGGAAAATAGGGGGGGACCGTTTCGAACAAAGAGTTTTTTGTTTGCTACAACGTGGAACCGAGTTGTTTTCTAAAAAAGGCTCAGATGTAGAGCCTTGGGTTCCAAAAATAAGTTGCACTTGATAATAAACTTCAAAAACTCCCAAAAAGCTTTACAAACCTCAATAAAACTTGTTCGCGAAATTTTCAGCTCAATTGGAAAACTTTCTTGCAATTTATATATTTAGAGTCACCCACTATGCAAAAGTATTCAGTCAACAAATTACCATTAATTTGTGATTTGAATTTTAAAAAATGCGCTTTCTATGAAACTTTCCAATAAAAAGTTCAAAGCGTGAAAAACTAGCGCCATTTTTCTGTGCAGACAGGTTCCCAATTGATATCATTTCACATAAAATGATAAGGGATGTGCCAGAGATTGCTTTTGATCGATTTTTCTTTTCGGGTTCACTTTCACGAAAGTTTATTGAGAAAAGAAGCACAAATAAAAACACTAACAATAAACACAACAAAACAACTAACAAACCCGTTTAAATTCAAACAATTTCAAAGTTGAATGTGGCAGAAAAGTGGGAGAAAAGCTAACGAAAAGAAGCTCTCGGAGTTTTAAATTTTGAGCCAAACGGGAGTTGAGTTGGGTAAATTGGCAAACGGGTACTATTAGTTTTTGGGTTTATTGAGTGAATATCATAAGCTTAGAACTCATTTTTATCATTTCAAGCTATTCAACGAACAATACCAGTTTTGCCATTTGACCAAGCCCAAGTAAGTAGTGTGGTACAAAGCACATTTGACAAAAAGTAACTATCCTTGCTGAATTCTCGAAAAACCTAACAAAGAATACTTGAATATTTAATTCTCAAAGCTATTTGAATTCTAGACATCCAATAATGACATCAATTTTCACAATCAAGCCGAGTACAAACTCTCGGGCTTAACAGGCTCATCGATGTCCAATTTCTTCTGGGTACGGTATGAGAGATAGGAGTTCCAAACAAGGCCACCAATTTGAGTGACAACCACGCGATGATTCAGTGGTACAAAATAGAAGTTGGCTAGCTGGACGGGAGGCCAAAACTAAAAATTTCTTGATTAATTTGGTTTGGACAAAGATCTTTGTTGTTTTGGATGTGGATTCTCTGTTTTTGTGAGCGTTTATCGATATTTTGAGGACAAAGATAAATGCGGACAAAGAAAAATGATACTAGTCTAGTTGCGCACGATTTTTTTCTTCAAAACCGCTTTTTCTGAGGTAGTTTTATGCGTAGATTCCAAAAAACACAACGAGAGCTTGGGGAAAGGCGTTTTAAGCCGAGTTTCGGGGCTCCAAAGTGCGCGCTTCTTTAGTGTGCTTCACTAGATGGAGCCCAAGCTATCGCAAATGGCACTTTTTAAGCTCAAAACCAGAGCCAAAACAATTTTCAACTACTAAATATTCATTTTCTAACTGAAATTAACTGGTAGAGGCAAAAGAAATAAAAAAAATATTTTTTAAGATTTTGGCCGATTTTGACTAATGTGGGGGACTACATAGTCAAAATTTTTTTAAAATTTTTTTTGCTCTAATTTGATCAGAAACGTAATCAGTAGGTTAAATTAGGCCAGAAGAAGTGTTTTTGGTGCCAAGAAATGTTTTGGGAGACCATTTTTAGACCTCTTCCCTCTGTGTTTCCCACCACACTCTATGAGCGCGCTCTTTGGAGCCAGAAACTCGGCTTAAAACGCATTTCCCAAGCTCTGGTTGTGTTTTTGCGGAATCTACGCATAGGATTACCTCAGCAAAAGTGGTTTTGAATAAAAAAAATCGTCCCCAAATTTTTGAATCACCAGCAAACTCGTGCTCCAAACAGGCCACCAGTCGCTTTTCGCCATTTCAAAGCTCTCCTTTGGACTGATTCCTTCGAGTATCCTCAAGTTGACGAGGATGATAAAGTTGAATATCGGCGAGAATGTACTCTAAAAGAATTTTGCATTCAAATCGCTTTTCAGCTCGTTACCTGATCGATTAACATTCTTTTCAATGGTACCAGCTTAGGGTTGCCTCTTTTCACCAATTCGAGCACTCGAAACCATCGATTTAAAATTGGGGCCTAAAATAGGTAAATGGACTGTCTTTGGTATAAATTTGAGTAAGGAAACAGCTAACATTTCTATTTCGAAACTCACAATGAAGAATCCGGCTAACACAAAGAATCTCCCGGTTCTAATCGCATCGTATTGTTGCCAAGAACGTCTTTCGATGAACTTCTGACAAATGAGATCACCTCCACCCGCAATCACAGCTGAAAAGGTAATAAATAGGTGAATAAAATTTGTTTTTCTAGTTTTTTTATCATTTGATGCTGAAGCAAGGCTTATTTATTCTACAATCGGCTCAAAATATTATACATAGTGATCGTGTATAGCGACGTTTAGGAAAATTAACTGAGAAATGTCTAATTGATTTCAAAAGTGTCAAGTGTTATATAGGGAATTGTAGCCCTAATTCTCGGCAATGTTTATCTATTAAAAACTTTCCGATTAGACTTATACAACTCATTTAACAAGCGCTTGAATGAGCGCCAGTCGACATCTCTCCGGTAAACCTGTCATTTGGCCGCTTTTCTCTATCAAAGATTGTTAAGAAAAGCTTTGTTTATGGACGAAAGTGCAAAGAAATTAAAATATTCAGTCAAAAAGCTGAAACCGGTTTAGGTAATTACAAATTGCCAAAGTTAAAAATGCTAATTTTATGCTAATTTCGCTGAAAGACATATTTTGTCACTACAATTCTTTCAAATCCCTCCAGGACTGCACTACTATTAGGGAAAATATGGTAAGTGTGATTCTTGATGTTATTAATCGATCTTAAACACTATTTTTGCATTAAAGAAACATTGAAAAGCTTTTCTTAACAATTTTTAATAGAGAAAAGCGGCCAAATGACAGAGTCGCCGGAGAGATGTCGACTAGCGCTCATTCAAGCGCTTGTTAAATGAGTTGTATAAGTCCAATCGGGAAGTTTTTAATAGATAAATATTGCCGAGAATTAGGGCTACAATTCCCCATATAACACTTGCCAATTTTAAAATCAATTAGGCATTTCCCAGCTACTTTTCCAAAAAGTTGTCTCTAAAATTTGCGGTCACTCTGCAGCAACGCACCGTTTATCGGACACCGGAAAATACAAATCACTAGAAATTTAGAAGTTAACTGAATGGCTGATAAAGACTTCTACAAGCTTATCTTTAGCCATTTTTCTTTCACAAACCTGATGTAGCCATTTGAGTTAACAACGGCCTTCGGCTCATCAGTGCCATGTAACGTTGATACATTTTCAAATGAAATTAAAAGATAGACTGGTAAAAATGGCTAGACTAGACAAAATGAAAGCCTCCAGACTCAGGAAAATACCCGTTTTGAACTTTTGGAATGTTTTGTTGTTTACGCGAACTTCAAAAGTGCACAGGATTTTCCTTTTTTTTGCACTTTCCTCTGTTTGTCTGTCGATTTTTTGACGTCTTTTCTCTGACCGTTTAGTGTGTTTTAAGAAAAAGGACAAGGTAAATGGAAAATAAAGTTAAACCATTTGAATTCCAAAATAAATAAAGTCAAAATAATAAATATGCAAGAATTTCCGAAGGAAATCTTCGCTTTCTAGGAGTTCTTTGGTGAATTTCTTGTTCAACTCCAGATTGATTGAAGTTTTCGGTAACTGCTCGAGTTCAGTCTCGATGTAAGTCAGCTTTCTAAATTTCAAAAACAATTACAGTAAATTTAAATTAAAGTAAATGAATTACAGTAATTAAAGTAAGTAGTAAAGTTTAAACTTACTCATAAGTGACATTTGCTTTATGCAGAACCCCGAGAAATTTATCGTTCGCAGATTTTCGCTTTGTTTGGCTTGCGTAGCTGACAATGGAGAACCTGTCGGTTGTGAATGGGCAAAACCTGTAATGCATGAAATTAAAGCGCGTTTTAATGTTTGATTGTTCTAAAACCTGTTTTTACTTACAATTGTTGATACTAATTGTCATAAAAATCCGGTGGCAAGAATGAAAGTTGGTGTATTTTTTGGTAGACTCTAGAGAAATCTAGAGAAAAGAAAGAAAAGAATCTAGAGAATCTACACCATTTCTGAAAACAACCATACTGATGTATTGAAAGTTAGTAACCATACCATGAAATAAGAAAAATACACAAAAACCATAAAAACAGGTAAGCAAAAAGTGAAATGGGGCTAACTTATAAACTATTGTAACTATATATATGTCGTAGCCGATCATGAATGAAATTTTTTGGCAAATCTTTCTAGTAGAGCAACCCTTTATCATCTTGAGGACAACACTATATCATCTTGTAGCGAATTGAATTCTGCGTCGATTGGTACCAAATTTGTGAGTTTAGGTTAAAAATTGCCGGCGCTACAACGTTTCATTCAAAATCGGCGGGACCCCCGTAGCCAATTATGAATTTCAGCCGATTATGAATGAGTGGGTCTAGGAGCGTCCAACCATCAAGTATTTCGTATCATTCAACGCAGAATCATTGATAATTATGTTAAATTTTTAAAATTAGCAAGATTTGATGAAAAGAAAAAAAAATTAGAGCAAAAAACTGTTTGTTCAAGAGAAAACTTTGAAGCCCCATAATTTGTGTTCTTTTTATCCAATCTTTCTAATTTCAAAAATTTAACATAATTATCAATGATTCTGCGTTGAATGATACTAAATACTTGATGGTTGGACGCTCCTAGACCCACTCATTCATAATCGGCTACGACCTTTATTTACAAATCTAGAAATTTATCGTTTGAATTAAACTTACCAAGTTTGCGGCAAGAAGTGCTCCAAATAGAAATGACCAAATTTTCTCCAATAAGGTTTTTTCGAGAATTCTTTTGACTTTTCATAGATTGTATTGATCATACAACTAAAAATGTTCAATATGCATTAATAATAACAAATTTTGTTACCCAACATCACTATTACAGCCATAACATGATGGTGATTTGAAAGCACTAAACTGGATTTGATTTTGATTTGGAAATTTGCTCAACCCTTTGCACTTTTTCACAAATGCGTTCATGAATCGATCGATCGGATGAGTGATTACAGCAAAATATGTGATATTTGGAGGGATCATTTGACCGAGAGCATCTCGTTGATTCTCTACTCCACAAAGCCTTAAGTTGAGAGCTGTAAAATCAATTTTACTTCTATCAGTTTCGCCGGAATCACTTATCCGCTTTTTTAAAGGTTAGTTTAAAGATCTTAAAGCTCCGTATGAAATTAATAAGAAAAAAATCGATTTATGGTTTGTTTTATCAGAAAGTAATATAATTTATTTACAAATTGCTCTTTAAGAAATTCTGAAAAGCTCGCGTTAATTAAATCAAACCCGGCTAAACCAATAACAAGCTAGTTTGGCTGAAAAGTGGATTAAGCGTCAGCTATCAAGTCTCAAGCACTGTAGAGATCAAAAAAAGTAAACTGAAATCATGCATCTCAGGCATAAGCCCTTCTTGACCAAGAAAGCTTTTAGCTGTGAGTTAATTTGAGACCAAATTCAACCCATCAACTAAACCCAACCAGTTATTCCCATCCTCCGTATGAATGTGTCTCCGTTGAGCGAAAAACTGTTCCGTTCGATTCAGATAACACATCGTTGCCATTGACGTTTCGAACATCTCGTTCTTCACCCGGCATAATGCGAGATTCTTTGGCGGTAATACCTGAAACTTGAGCTAGATTTTAAACCCTAAAAAGTCCACATTTAGGCTCTATAGTAGTTCGGCAGGGCCAGTTCGTAAACACCGGTTTTTTCGAACACCACTAATTTTAAAAACTTTTCTGGGGTAATTAATTGCACTGAATTCATTGGAAGCTTTTTTAAAACCATTCTGAACAACTTTTATGCTAGTTTGAGCAACAATTTCAAGCCATCAAGAGCGGCTTTATCTCCGAATCGGTTTAGAGGTGTGGGACCGAATTAAGAGAATTAAGAGGCTTAAAAACTCAGTAACTGTTTGAAATAGCTAGAAAACATTTACTAAAGCTTAAATAAATACCAAATTAAGAATCTACGCCATTAAAAACTCTAGAAGCAAGAATTACTGCACTCTGGCTCAATAGAGATGAATGTACACTGCCCCTCCCCGAACGACTATAGCACCCAAGTATCGACTCGCCTCAAAAAGATTCGATGTTTCGCGGATCGGTTGTAGACACGGACTATCAATATCGAATGAGCATTCTTTATGGACTATTTCCAGAACATTTTCAATCATATTTTTGGAGTTCTCGTAGCAAATTGCACAAGAGACCAATGACTGAAACTTCAGAAGGTAAAAGATAACTGAACTTGACAAAGCTTACCAAGAAGAGCAAGATCATTCGGAGAAAAGATTAAAACAAGTTGATAATTGCAAAATGAAGTGAATATAAAACTCTTATTCAAGTTGTAAAACTTGAAGGAAATCTATGAGTGGGGTCAATCCACGAACAACCACTCCCAAAAGACACAATTGTCCGCAAGACTGGAATCAGTCTCTTTTCTTTTTGTTGGCTCCTGTTTACTCATGACGTTTGATTGATCAATGATCTAGCAGCACCGGCTAGACTTTCATATATATACAGGGTGCGCCAAAAGTTCCCGTACTTGTATTTTCTGCATTTTTGGTAATTTTAGATAAAAGACATGATTTTAAAAGTAAGAAATTCGAATTCCTCGCGAAAAACTGATTTAGAACACGTTTCTGGTTAATTTATAAGTGCAACGCTATTTAAGACAAGTGATTGAGGAGAGGGTCCGCTCAGGGGCGCTTTGGTCGCACAGTTACAGGGCACAGTTACAGGGCACAGTTACAGGGCACAGTTACAGGGCACAGTTACAGGGCACAGTTACAGGGCACAGTTACAGGGACAGTTACAGGGCACAGTTACAGGGCACAGACAGGGCACAGTTAAGGGACAGTTACAGGGCACAGTTACAGGGCACAGTTACAGGGCACAGTTACAGGGCACAGTTACAGGGCACAGTTACAGGGCACAGTTACAGGGCACAGTTACAGGGCACAGTTACAGGGCACAGTTACTGAGCAACTTTTATGGATCAAGTTATTTGAGGTTACTGTGGTTGTAAGCTACCAAAAACCAAAAAAAGCCAAATTTAATGCAAAAATTTGGGCATAATGACGTCATTTACATCGGAATTTCTCTTTTGTTCTGTAAATGATCCCCAAATGTGATTTAATGATTCCCATTAATGATTTAATGACAAATGAGATTCCCATTTGTGAGTTTTAGGATGATAGAACTATTGACGGAGTTTATTTTAATCATTTGTCCCAAGAAAAGTCTCAAGTCTCAAATTGGTTCTTTTCCGTTATACATCCGTAAAAATAAACAGAAGCTATTGGCAGAGTTTAATTTAACCCTTTGTCTTAAGAAAAGTCCCAAGAGAATCCAATTGGCTTTGGGTTCTGATAGTTATCTATCTAATAGCTTTTCACAATGAAAAATCCCAGATTTCCAAGAAGAACCAAAAACTTTATTAAAAGAAAACAAAAATGGAATGGTATAAAGCTTATTTGTACAGTTTATTATGGAGTATCATTGTGAAAGAGCCGATTGGGAGACAAAGTTGACCAAAGTTGTCTCAATCCTTGCAGTAGTAGCCGTCGAACTGAAAACGTATTATTATAAGCTTAAAAGGCTTTGAAAATTGTTAGATTTGCTGATTTGCTTTAAATTTTAAAAGCTTGATTGTTTATTTTTAGTTTGACTAGTAGATTTTTAAACTTTTAAACTCACCACCAAATCGAAGCTACACTCACTGCCGTAGCAATCGTTCCCCCCGTTCTCCGGATTGCAGCGCTAAGAATTTTAATTTTTAGATTAATAATGTTGTTGATCTTGGTTAAAGCGACGGTTAAACAAATTGATTTATGCAAATTTTTTTCGAATACATATTGCTACAAGCAACGGCGTCCCTTGGGATTTTTTTGATTGATGCTTTTTTTTGATTTTTTAAAAATTTCTTTTCTGCTTCTTTTCTTTTAACTTAGTTCTTTATCTAATAATTTCTTCTTCTTTATCTTTATCTTTATTTAGATTAATTCTGCACTACGAGCAACAGAAATCAGTAACAACATGTGAAAAAATATCAAATGGATAACGAGGACAGTTTTTTTCCTGGAAAGTTTCAAAATTTAAAAAAATTACCGGAGTTAATTGCTTTTTTGGAAAAGAAAAACACGCAATTGCTAAAAAGGAAAAGCCAAGGACAGTTTTAAACATTTACCGTCTTATGTGCGCAAAATGCCCAGTAAAGACATCGACATTCGGCTCTGGGTGCCGCGCATTTCTTGCCCAAAGCTTCTTGACAATCGGCGTCATTCCGACACCGTAGACCGTACGAGTACGATGTCTGAAAATTATCTAGCACAATGTTTGCGTTAATCATTTCAGTATACTTAATAAAGACTATTGGCTAAACGAGTTTTGTCAATGGTCGAGATTTTGTTCCTCGAGATTTTGCTGGGATTACAGTGCCGCTCAAAGGTAATGGCCCCCCTTAAACTTTTCAGGTTTTTCATATAAAACAAATGCACAGAGTAATATTTTTAAAGACAAATGCTAGCTTTCTCATAAATATGCATAAACATTTTGGTTTCAGCTCATTTTGAATGCTTCCTAAAAAGTGACATAAAAAAGGAAGTTTAAGGTCGCTCAAAAGTAATGGCCCCCCTAAGCGTTTGTGTTGAACAACTTTCTTAAATAAATTTTTTTTCTAATTTGATAGTTTATTTCTAATTTATTGTGATTTTTTCAGATATGGGCAAGAAATATTATCCGCTTGCTGTACGCAAAATTCTTCTCGATAAGGTTTTCTCTGGATCGAGTGTCAAAAGAGCGGTAAGAAGTTTTGGAATCCCATACACTACGGCAAAGCGCTGGAATCGTGCCTACAAAAAGAAAAAGGTTTTGGAGTTCAAGTACAAGAAAGGACGCAACAAAATTACTGACGAAAGATATGACAGAAGGCTCGTTCTCGAAAGTAAATCGAATCCTCGTTTAACAGCAAGAGAAATTCTGCAGAATACTCCACATCCCGATGGTGTGCAACCTTCCATTTCTACTATAAAGCGAAGACTTGTCGATTCTGGATTATTTGGTCGACATGGCTCAAAGAAGCCACTTATCTCAAAGAAAAATCAGAAAGAGCGCTTAAGTTGGGCCAAGAATTACCGAAATTGGAATGTGGATGATTGGTCGACGGTTTTGTTTTCAGACGAAACGAAGGTCAACTTGTTTTCTTCTGACGGAATACAATGGATTCGACGACCAAAGAACACACGGGACGCGCAGGCGTACAATATTCCAACAGTTAAACACGGGGGAGGCTCGGTACTTCTTTGGGGATGTTTCTCGGGTTCGGGAGTTGGTCCACTCGTGCGCATAAAAGACATCATGAATGCCGAAAAGTATGTGGATATCTTGGAAAATTATATGTTGCCTTATGCTAAGCAAAATTTGCCTAACGGATGGACTTTTCAACAGGATCGTGACCCCAAACACACAGCCCAACGGACCAAAACTTGGTTCAATCAAAATCGCGTGTCCGTTCTTCAATGGCCTGCTCAGAGCCCCGATGCAAATCCTATTGAACATGTATGGAAGTACTTGAAGAAACAATGCCAAGGATATAAAGCAAAAAATTCTGATGATTTGTACCGGAAATTACAAGAAGAGTGGGCAAAAATTGACGCAGGAGTTATCAAAAAGCTTATTGAATCAATGCCTCGACGAGTTGAAGCTATTATTCATGCAGAAGGTCAAAATACAAAATATTAGTTCTTTTTCGAGTTTGGTTCTATTTATACTGTTTTTGTTGAATAAATATCTTTTACGCCTCGAAAACTTTTACAGCATTGGCAAGGGGGCCATTACTTTTGAGCGACCTTAAATTTCCTTTTTTATGTCACTTTTTAGGAAGCATTCAAAATGAGCTGAAACCAAAATATTTATGCATATTTATGAGAAAGCTAGATTTTGTATTTAAAAATATTACTCTGTGCATTTGTTTTATATGAAAAACCTGAAAAGTTTAAGGGGGCCATTACGTTTGAGCGGCACTGTACACAGGGTGGCCCAGAATACTTTTTAGGCCTTATATGAAGGCAAATTAAGTCGAAAAATTATCAGATTACTTGATGCTTGTTATATTTCTCATTTCTATAAACATTTTTACACTTCTATTCCAATTTTTAGCCCGATCGGTGGGCTACGTTAGTAGGGGCGCCCCTACGCACCCGCGTGGGCTAAAATTTCCCATTCATTCGGGCAACGGAGTTCGGGTGGGTGGGCTAAAAATTGTGTTTTTAAAAATTTGTTTTTGTCTTTTGAAGAAGCACCACCACAGCTTACTAATATTCCACACTCATCTCTAAAAATGGTGGTTTCAAAAATTTACGTCTTTTGGCACGTTTGCGGAGCAAAAATGTATTACGGCGCGCAAAAAGATGCCCAGGGAGGCCAAAATATGGCCAGGGGGCCAAAATATACCATTAGAAGCTCCGTAAATGAAAGCGTCAAGCACGGAGATGCTTTTGTCTATCACCTATCTGTCTATCACCAGTCTATAAAGTCACCTTTGGTGATTAAAATGAAGGCATTGAACTTTTCAGTAATTTTAATTAGTTACTGGTGCTTTAAAAAGGTTAATAAAATTAAAATTATGACTTTTTGCTTTAAGCTTTTGGCCTATTGCGAGTTTTCGAATTCTCTAAAACGCCCAAAATAAGCTTATTTCATCTCGTTTTCAACATGGTGACAATTAAAGCAATTCAAATTTAATTTCTCATAGTTGAAACAAAGATTTCTTTATGGCCTTAACATATAAAAGACAAAAAAGCATTATTTGTGGAAGAGTTTTGATATGTGAAGCATTTTAAGCACGATTTATAAGAAAATATACATGCTAGACACTTTTATTTGGCTTCTAATAACCTTAATTTTTCTTATAGCCGACCGATTGAGCTAGAAATTGGAATATAAGTGTAAAAATGTTATGAAAATGAAAAGATAACAAGCTTTAAGTAATCTGATACATTTTTGACTTAGTTTGCCTTCATATAAGGTGTAGCACATGTTTTGCACACGTAACACATGTTTTGCATGTGATGTTGAATGCACGCTTTTTGTCTACATTGGCTGATGCTTTTAGTACACAGCTAGCAACTGTACAACTGTACTAACAACCTTTTTGTGCACCTTGTACAATAAATTTACCACTAGATAAGTCTATTTTTCCCTGGTTCAATTAAATGCTGAGTGTTTTCATTCAAATCAAAAGAAAATTAAAAGATAAATTTTGCGGAAATTCTCCGCAAAATTTGATAGCTCTGTTTTTGCCCAGAGCTGTCAATTGTTAATTGATGCCAGTTTTGTTTTGAAGGACTGTCTTCTGCTTTTGTTTTGAACCAATAACTCAAGATAGGGGCCGAGCACAAAGAGCATTTTGATAAGCTATATAAAACCAGTGAAAGCTCACCACAAGAGCGACAAGGCTCAGAACAAGAAGCACGGGAATGAAGCTGAATTTCATTGTAGATGTGAAATGAGAATACTTGGAGGGGGAAACCGGTCAGAATTTAAACAAAAAACCGGTACTGAGCGTGTTGTCGGATGTGGGTGGGAGAATTGTTAAGCAGGCTTTTGGAGCAAACTATTGTGGAGACGGGCAACGCTTTCCCTTATCTACAGCCGACCAGGGCCGACCAATTCACGGAACTGATGGGAAAAAAGGTGACAAAGACGAGCCAAAACACATTTTTTGATTCTGTTTGTTTTTCTTTTCTTTGAGGGGAAATTTCAATTTTTTTCGATTTCTGGAATGGAAATGAGTCGGTGACCCATTTCTTATTTTAGGAGATTTCACGGTGACACCCGGGAATCTAATTTTTGGGTCTACGAATAGAATTTCCTGAGGTTTGAACTGGAATTGAAAAGAATAGAAAAAAAATAGAAGAATAGAAAAGGAGAAGAATAGAAAAGGAGAAGAATAGAAGGGAAGAAGAAGAATAGAAATCTAGCGCTAATTTTGTCCGTTTGTTATTTCATTGATGGATTTATAATCAGCAAAGCTTTTCAGCTATTTGGCCACTTCGAAAAGCAATTCGTGTCGGAATCTTTTTGCCTGCCACAAGAAAAGTCTGCGAAATACGACTTTTGCCCAAGCAAATTGTTGTATACATTTCACAAGGGAAGGTCAACTGGCTGAGCCGGCCAAATGCTATGCAACCTATACCATTCAACGCAGAATTTTATGCTGATTTCGAATATGTATTCGGTTTTTGTTAAATGAGAATCCTTCAAGAAACATAAGCGCCTAAAGTTTTGCCAGGATCTTAGCGGGTCATTTGGATCTTAGCGGTCTCCCTGATCGGCTGCCCGATTCGGTGGAGCCCTGGCCCTGGTACAGCGTTTGTTTCCAGAGCGAGACTGGCAAGTTCGATCCTCACTTTGGATTTGTCTTTTGCTTTTTGTCAGTTGGAAGATGTTGGGTCCAAGCATTGTATCGGTTTTGTCCTCATCACAGTTATTGTTAAAATTGCGGGCAAAAGGTGGATCGTTGCCAATGAGATTACCAATGCCTAGATTGATCAGATGCCGATGTTTGCCAATAATTGCCATGCTTGCCAATAATTGCCATGTTTTGTAGACCAGTTTCTTCACTTTCATCTTTGTCACTGAGTTTGATTGTTTTGAAATTTGGTCTCAATGTGTGAATGCCTGCAAATAAAATATTGAAATTTATTAAAACACTGACAAATGCATATTTTCCGATCTGATATACTGAATTAAGGTGGTTCCAGGTTAAAGATTCGTATCTGAACTATCGGTTTAGCAGCCATCGATCCCGTCGTCTCAACTTTATCCTTTGAGGCGAAGACTTTTGCCCGACTCAAAGGGAGTTTTTGGTGAAAACTGTAACATAAATAATTAGATAAACTCTGCCAAACATACACGATTGAAATAAAGGCTCGTCGGTAATCTTGAATAAAATAAGCCATCGAAATCGCGTCCATCAACGGGTACATTGAAGCAGGGATTAGTGTGTAGCTTCCCCTAAAATATTGTGCTCAGAGCTTGCAAGGTATTCGGATTCGTTACATAGAAAATGATGATGTTGGCTTAAAATTTTGAAACTTATGAGTCTATGGGTCAAATGAGACTGATCAACACTGAGATTAAGTGCAAATCTTGGAGAGGAGTATTTTCCTATTTAACTTCTAGTGGAATTTTACAGTACCAAGCAAAATGAACCAGTTCTTTTTGTTTTTCTTCTAGTAAGTAGGATGTTTCAAGCAAGCCCTAGAGCTGCAAGTCAAGCTAAGGCGGACAGATCGGTTTATGCCCAGGGTAAAGCCTCAAGACGGAGCCCCAGATCAGGGTCCGGGTTCGCACTAGATCCCACTTGTTCCCACTAGCCTTCTTCCAGGTCAAACCTGGCCAGATCTTGCCAGGAGCCAACCCTGGACCTGGTTTCTGGCTTGGCCCTGGGTCCGGGTTCGCCAATCACTAGATTTTACATTTACAATCCTGGGAAATAACTCTTTCAATTTGAACATTTTTTGCTATCTGTTTGGCTTTTTAGAAACTAGATGAAATTTTGCTTCTGCCCATACAAAAATAATGTTATTCCTATGAAAGATCACTAAGAAAAGATGAGTAGGAAACGCTAATAATTGCTGAAAGTTTAGTGTTGTTTTACTTAGTGGCCTGCTAACCAGCCAAAATCATTTTTGTATGAGCAGAAGCAGAATTTCATCTAGTTTCCAAAAACCAAAACAGCTAGCAAAAAATGTTCAAATTGAAAGGGTTACTCGCCAAGATTGTAAACCGAGGGGTAAATCTAGAGAATTTCGCTAGGTCTAGTGGTTGGCGAACCCGGACCCAGGGCCAAGCCAGAAACCAGATCCAGGGTTGGCTCCTGGCAAGTTCTGACCAGGTTTGGCCTGGAAGAAGGCTAGTGGGAAGAAATCATGGTTTCAGAGTAACCCGTTTCTCACTATTAAGTTACGAAGGATCCAAAATTCGGCAATTTCCTTTTTGACTCACCACATGCCCAAATAAATTCCATTAAATGCGCTGAAGTGGATGATGAAACAAGGCGTGCCTTCCATCAAAAATGGGCATATTGTCTGAATTTCACAATTATTTGAATCTTTCGAATTCTTCCATAATCAAAATTAACTACTTTACGGTTATCTACTATATATAAAGCAGAAGAGACGTCCGTCTGTCCGTCTGTCCGTCTGTCCGTCTGTCCGTCTGTCCGTCTGTCCGTCTGTCCGTCTGTCCGTCTGTCCGTCTGTCCGTCTGTCCGTATGTCTGTTTGTCCGTCTGTCCGTCTCTCCGTCTGTCTGTCCGTCTGTTCGTCCGTCTGTCCGTCCGTCTACCCGTCTGCCCGTCTGTCCGTCTGCCCGTCTGTCCGTCTGCCCGTCTGTCCTTCTGTCCGTCTGTCTGTCCGTCCGTCTATGCGCAGCCATTGGAAAAAGGGGCGGGGCTTAGATTGCGTGGAAACCAGTGAAAAACACGAACGTTAGTGAGCATTTTCCGCTGGTGATTTTTATCAGCTTGTTATCTTGGCTTTACTGGAGCTTTGTATCCAGTTCTTTGGGAAACGATCAAAATTTACCAGACAAACAATTTTATTTCCTCAGTTTTCACCTTGTTCTTCACAAATTCACCTGTGCAATGAGCGCTTTCAGTAACTCCATTTGCAACTTCTTTGTTTTTTGACTCATTCGATTTTCCTTGAAACTCCTTTGGATTCGAGCAGTGAACCAAAGCTGAAAGAAACAAGTGACAAGTTTAATGCAAAAATTTACCATGAACAAAAATTTATAAAACAGAAGACTCATGCAAACTGATGTACAAAGGAGATTGTACGGTCTGAATCCAGTCATTCCATTTGTATCGTTGTACTGGTAAGCTTTTGGTGATTTAAGGATTCAAAAAAAAGTTACCCGGTAAAGTGGTCCAAGAATGGAGGCTTTATCCGCATCCATTTTGTAGTAATTCATGAAATCTGGCTTTAGAATCCACTAAATTGATTGAATTTTGGCTAAATCTAATTCATTTTGATTTATTGATTGATAGATTGATGAATTTCTGGATAAGAATCGATTGATTTGATTGATTAAACTCGATTTGGTTTTCTTTTGTTAATGATTATTTGATTTGGCCCATTTGGCCAATTTTGACGATTCTTGTTTGTCTTTTTAGCACTTATTTTGTATCTTTTGGATGTTCTATTCTTTTAATGTTTCTTTTGATCTTTCTTTTGAGCTTTCTTTTGATCTTTCTTTTGTTCTTTCTTTTGATCTTTCTTTTGATCTTTCCTTTAATCTTTCTTTTAATCTTTCTTTTGATCTTTCTTCTGATCTTTCTTCTGATCTTTCTTTTCATCCAACCAAGCCAAATTTTTAGAAATACTTTTGAAAAGTTATTTTTAAAGGTTCCCCATCTTTGAGAAGCTATTTCTTTGGTTGATTTTGATAAAGGTGATTTTCAAAATCACCTTTTGGTTCATTTTGGAGACGTTTTCGTACCTGTGAATCCGAAAATAAACCAAAAAACGGAAAAATTGGAAGTTTTAATTAATTTTTGTGTTGCAAAAAAGTTTAAACTTCTGTAAAATTGTGATTTCTTTTGGACTGAAATAGCTGAAATCTTTTTTGCAATTCTGGTGAACAATTTTCAATGCTTTCACAACCGAAAAACAGTGTTTAATGTAACTAAAGTGTTTTGTAAAAGGTGCGCTTGAGAAAAGCTACTGTACTCATACAGAAAAAAGCTACCGTAGTAAGCTTTTTATAAAGGAGGGACCCAAATTTGGCCGACCAAAAAATCTTGGTAAAAGAACGAGTTTTGCGTTTTCTAGGGTAATTTTGAACGCTGATTCCGAAAAACATGGTTTCACCCTAGGTTTCGTACAAAAAAAAACGAAAAAACACGTTTTTTTGATTTTTTCATATAAAATGCTACTATTTTTTTCTGCATGGCTCAATTTTTGATGTTTTTGGTACCAAAATCCTCGTAGAGCATAGCTGCATAAAAGTAAGTTAAAAGATTTTTGTGTATGCCGGCCATCTGCGAGAATTGGCCTTATAAATGAGGTGCGTGTAAAATTGTGTAAAATCTGTGTAAAATTAACGATTTTTTTGGATAAAATGCGATTTTTAAAAAATGTATCAGACGGATTTTGAGAATTTTTTCACCATTGAATTCAGCACATTTTTCTGCGTCAAATCGTTATTGAAACAAGGAAAACAGATAGAAAACGACTTTTTTTTGTGTTATTTCAAGCGGATGTGCGTCCCCCTTTAACAATAATTTAATAATTTTAACAACATTAGGTATTAAATCAGCTTTGCCGATCATTTCAACCTTAAGTATTTCAGCTAGTTTTCGTTTAGAAGAATGCAGAATTTGTGGCAAGATTACAGCCAAATTAAAGGCAAAAATCTTTGCTAAAAATTTGGGCATAGTGACGCCCAAAACTGGATTTTGCTTATTTTATTGAGTCAAGCAATTGGAACTTCGGCTTAACTGGTATTTTCTGGTATTCCTGAATGCCATTTTGAAAAAGAGAAGCCAGTTTACTTTAAGCAAACAAGAAAACAACAAAAAAGTCACTAACCCGATTCTCCCGTAAAGCCCACGATTGTGTTTCGAAGAACCAGCTCCATAGCCCCAAATCGATCATTATATAGACACCAAGAAGTGCTCGGATTGGCCACTTTTTGAAGTGACCAATTAACTTTGGTCTGAAAATCAGAGCTAAGCACGTAAATGGGTTTTTAAACTCACTGGCAAACCACAATATATCGATATAAGAAATGGAAGACAATCAAGAGGATTTGTTTGTTGTATAAAACAGTCCAATAGAGGATCATCCACTGGAAATTTTTGGGGTTTTTTTGAGTGGGATTTGAACTTTTTATGTGTGTTTTTATGGAAACTCACTGGTCTCGGTTTAGTTGAGTATGCTAATTCTCAAGAAATATTGTAAAATATGTAATTTAACCCACCTGACCCGTTGATTGACTGATGTAGGCACTGAAAGGACTGGCAACGTAGAATGTGAAAGCATATTCAACGACATGAATTCCCTGCAAATGTTCAACAAAAAGATTTTCGAAATTGCACTCTTAAGAAAAGCTACCGTTTTCCACTTCTAGAACTTTAGACTAGTTAGCCTGACTCAGCTAGAACTCTAGACTAGTTAGCCTGACTCAGCTAGGACTTTAGACTAGTTAGCCTGGCTCAGCTAGAACTTTAGTCTTGTTAACCTGGCTCAGCTAGAACTTTAGACTAGCTAGCCTGGCTCAGCTAGAACTTTAGACTTGTTAGCCTGGCTAAGACCGCTCAAAGCTAGAGCTAGAGCCTCAGCTAAGACAATGCATTACAGTAACTTTTCCCAGAAGCACTTTTTAGAATTGCTGAATTGACTGGAAACAGCAATAACTTTCAACAAATGCTCAAAAAAAAATTTTCCGGTAAACTCACCGGCATCAGTATTAGATGAAATAGTGGATAGATGATGTTGAAAGTGGAAAATGTGATCATCAAATATTTGTATTGGCCCAATTCGGGGCGACTAAAGTTCAGCATTTAATTTCAAAGCAATTCACCTAGATAGACTTATCTGAACTTAATGGTATCCGAATTCCGATAAGGCAATTTAGTGCTGTGGGAGTTTAAGGGGGCACTCAAAATTTGCATACCGTATTTCTCTAATGGTAGTGCACGCCGGTCTAATTTTACGGCTCTCAAGGTTTCGCAGAAGCTCAACACTCTAATCCCCCACTAGATCTCATCGTCAACTACATTTTCCGACCTCACATCGATAGGTTCTGATAAGCGGTTCTCGAGATTTCGAGCAATTTAGGCGACGCTCAGGGTGAACTACTATTAGAGAAAATACTGTAATTACCTCAATTTGCATTTAACTTCTCTGGTGATTTTCACGCGATTCTTATTATTTCTTTTAACAACAATAATAACAACAATAATAACAACAATTTAACAACAATAACAACACGTTTTTTATATTTTCTTTTATTTACTTTACTTACTTTCTTTATTTAGTTATGAACAATCTAATGTCCCTCTTTCGGGAAGAAGTCGTTGCAAAATACCCACTCTTCTAAAGCCAATTAGATCTACAGTCATGGACAAAAATCTTTACCCCCAATCAGCTTTTAAGCTTTTAAAACGCGAAATTTTTCAACTTTTTTGTTATTAAAATAAATAGTAAAAATTGTGTGAAAATAGAGAAGTCAAATGCATATTGATTTCCTGTAATTACGCACAGATCTCCTGAATCATTTGATTGTTTAGTCCATCAATAATGTCAATAATGGACATGATACACTACTGGACAACGAAATATCATATTTGAAAAAAAATCGTCACTTTCGCGCGTCTGTAACTCCCTCGTCTTTACCGTATTTCTAAATATTAATATTACCATTGTGTAGCCCTTGAAAAGAGCTTTCAGAAAATGTATAACACTAATAGTTTAAACTCAAAGACAAGGAAGTTACAGACGTGCGAACGTGACGATCATTTTTCAAATATGATATTTCATTGTCCAGTACTGTACTTACGATTTGGTGCCGGTGTTGTACAATCGGGCTTGGCTCAGAACTTGGCTCAGAACTTGGCTCAGAACTATTATGCAAATGAGTAATTATGCAAATTTTGAGTGCCCGTGCCTCCCATAGTACCGGCAATTTTACTCAGAACATCACAACGAACATACTCACCTGTAATTGGTTATGATCAGAATCAATCCCATATTTGCGAAGATTCCCGAAAAAGTGTTGAACAGGGCACAGAAGTGACTACTGTTGAAGCTATGGGTCATCTTCGAGTCAGCTCTACTAGAAATTTACGTTACTGGATGTTTTAGAAGCAGAAACACATAAAAAACCCAATCAGCCTTTCAAGCTAACAAGTTTAAGTCTAAGAGTAAGTTTAAAGATTGGCTTGGCTTAAAAAGAAAGCCAGGAATAGTTCTGCGTAATTTCAAAAGCATAATGTGCATTTGGCAATGAGTTTTATCAACTCTAACAGAGTTAGGAACTTATCCAATACTTATCCAATCTTTGTTAACAGTTTTTTCATATCTGAAACCTTATGAATTTCAAAATAACGTTGAAAATGAGGCGTTTAAAAACCAAAACTGAAATGAGATGAGTTTTTGATAAGTACTTGTAATTATTTCTGCTGAATGGACCAAGTAGTTAACAACTTTGAGTTGAAAAAGCATGGAAGTAATTTTTGAGTGAACAATGTACAAGAAATTCTTTCATTTCCTCAGGGACTTAACATTCGATCAAAACTGTGACAATTTGTCTCAAAAACGTCGACTTTCAAAATGGAATTTGGAACAAATTGAACTGTATAATTGTGTGTAGCCTAGAAAAATGAAAGCTGATTTCCGTTTGAAAGCTGATTTAGTCAAAAGTCAGAAAAATTGGATGATTTAGGCAAATGAATCTGAAAATGAATGATTTAGGCAGATGGATTTAGGCAGATCTACGGGTAAAACCTTTAATTATAATATTTTCTTGAAGATTGAGCAGCTGAAAACTATTAGGTTGTCCGGGAATAAATGAGCGTCACCGAGTTCGACTTCGAAGTGGCGCCTTCCTGAAATCGAGTTCGAATTCATGCGGCACCCATTTATCGAGCTTTTTTGACTTTCCGTTTAAATCCAAACCGTTTCAAGTGGTCGGAAATGGTCGTCTTGCCCACGCCAAGCTCCTCCGCAAGCTCTTGAATAGTCGTACATGGATTTGCTTCCACCTGGGTCTTCAGTTCGTCGTCACCGAGTTCAACAGGACGGCCACGGCCTTCTTTATCTTCGAGATCAAAATCACCAGCTCGGAATTTTCGGTACCAAGTTCACACTGTTGACTCGCCGACACTGCCTTCGCCCCAAACTTTGTTAATGTTACGAGCCGTTTCAGCTGCATTGCGACCGAGTTTGAACTCATAAAAGAAAATCTGGTGAAGGTTGATTTCGGACATCTAAAACAGCGAAGCTTGAAATTCGCAAAAAATCTTGCGACAACCAATTTCAACCATTCTTCCATCAATTTTCTGTCCATATTGAGTTTACTCCGAAATTGCGAGCTGAAACAAAAACAGCTCTCAGTAAACAATTAACAGCTATGAGTCAAATAAACAAAATCTTACGCAATATTTAGATACCCAAGAAACCTGGAAAAACAGTTTTAAACGGTTTTTAGTAATAGCAAAAAGTTGAGCCACAACCGGATCTGAGCCAGGGACAAAAGAGCCAGAGCGCTTGGTCACTATCCACTAGGCCAAGAGCTCATGTTTAAAAACCTCTGTAGAGCCCTTATGATTCGTGGATGCGACGTCGCAGATTCAACCGTTGGATGTTCATTTTTCTTCTTCAAGTCTTTTATGAAGAAGTTAACCGCACACGTCATTGCCTCAAAGATCGACTTCCAAGTGAGCCAACGCGCCATCCTGAAATGCCATCCTGAAAACGATCAGCCAGATCTACCACCAGTTCCGGGTGCCATCTTTTTGCCCTGTGTAGGCTCGAAGCCTGGAAAAGCACTCATTATATTGCTGATATACATCCTCATTATGTGACACCAGCAGCTCATTCATTTCACTCTTTGCACTTGGGGTACCATTCTTTGCATTCGTCGAATTCTGTGCCCAAAATCGAGTGATTAGTAAACTCGTGGAGGTGATCATCGATTACAATAGATGTCGCTCGGACACAGCTTGTCATCTGAAATAAACTGTGCTCATCTCAAGTAACGCCTTTTCGAAGGCTCGCGTTACTTGGACCATAGAAAGTTGTCAAAAGAAACACACACAAGGTGTTCAATATTTAAGACTTTTAAGCTCACAGGTCGTTTAGCGCCTTATAAATTTTTGTTCATGGTAAATTTTGCATCAAATTTGTCACTTGTTTTGCCTTAGCTTTGGTTTACTGCTCGAATCCAAAGAACTTTCAAAGATAATCAAATGAGTCAAAAACAAACAAAGAAGTTGCAAATGGAGTTACTGTTATTCATTTGTGTTATTCGTTTGTGCATTTGAACAGGTGAATTTGTGAATCACAAGATGAAAACTCGGGAAACTGAGGAAATAAAATTGTTTGTTTGGTAAATTTTGATCTTTTGTCAAAATTGCACTGGGTACAAAGCTCCAACAAAGACAAGATTTTAAACTACCGCCGTAAATACTGTAATTGGACCCCACCCCTCTTATAGAGTTCTAGAGATCTTATAGAGTTCTAGAGATCTTATAGAGTTCTATAGAGTTCTATAGAGATCTTCTAGAGTTCTATAGAGATCTTATAGAGTTCTTAGCAAGTTTACCAGTTTACCAGTACCAGTACCAGTTTAAAAATTTAAAAATCCGTCCATTGCTTTATAATTACTGTAGAAATTTGCTCAAAGTTCGTCAAAAACTTTTTCTTCTTCCCTGAAAACTTTTCATGAGCTCATCGTCGATCGAGTCTTTTTTGTTAGAGGGGAAGGGGAAAAATAGCACCCAATGGGGTCCAATTACAGTATTTAGGCTAAGTCAAGAGTACGTTTATTTTAAATTTATAAGTATTATGTTGGAAAGAAAGTTCTCGGAAAAAGTTTGCACGGTGATTTCTCAAAAACCAAGCCATGAATTCTTCCCAAATTTTTTAATAAACTTGACTATATTTCAAAATGTTCTTGACAAAGAAAATCAGAGTGGGCTTCAGGTAAAAAATAAGAGATTTCTTCAGCTGAAGTGACTTGATCACTTTTTGAGTGACCAACTTTTATACAAGTTTTTAATGGGTTAATGGATAGGCAATGGGTCTCATTCAAAACCTAAAATCTAGCACTTAAAATAGGGAGAATTTGTGATAAAGGCAAATTTTATCTAATGCTTTAACTTTTCAGAGCTTTTCAGAGAACTTAGCAAACACTCAGTGCCAAGGAGATGACATCAAAAAGTGATTTTTTGAAATACAGCTTCTCTGTCAAGAATTTTTGTCCAAAAATAGAGATTATAGAGCGTATTGCTCATTTATGCTAGCTTTACCTCATAAGGAATCGTTTGTCTCGTGCAAAAAGGTGGCCTGTAGCTATCAGGTGGCTCATTTGTAAGGTACGGGCTAAAGAAGCTGCATCACAACATTGAGTTAAAGTTTAGATAAATGCCAGCTCATTTCTACTAGCTTTACCTCATAAGGAATCGTTTTTATGGTGCAAAAAGTGAGCTGAATTTAAGCTGGATATTTAATTTAATCTAAATTTAAGCTGGAAAATAATAACTTTTCAAAAATCTCTAAAATTTTAAGGGAAAGCTGCACTCATTTTTTTACGAGTAATTTCTTGGAGCCGACTTGTAAATAATAGAGCAAAATGTTCTTGAGTTGGTGGATTCGTTTTTAAGAAACTCCAGTCAAACTTTTCTGAGAACTTTCTTTCCAACCAAATATTACACGAGCAAAAAATGTACATGAGATAAATGATTTCTTTCGCGAGTTAGGATAAAGGTCGTGACGAGCAGAGGAAGGAAAACGTCGCATCACAGTTCACCGCTTTCCACATTTGATCTTGAGAATCAAGAATGAGACAATCGTCAGCTAGATTGGGTTTCTTTTAATGACTTTTATACGTAAAATGATTCTGAAATACTTGTCAGCCTTCATTAGAGTATTTTGAAGCTTGAAACTTCGAAAGTTTTGAAGCTCTGAGCTTTAGAAAGCTTTATTCGTTTTATCCGTTAATCTAAACCCAAAGTTTTTTAGCACTGCAACTTACTCGAAGCAAGAATTTTGCTGTAGTCAAATGAGGTTGCATCACTCCACACCCAATCGGTTTTCACGATTCGAATCGCACCGATCAAGCCAACAGAGCTTCCTGTCAAATCTACAAAAGAGGAATAATAATAATATTTGTAAAGACTCACTTTGTTGTAACTCAGCAAAAAGGGTATTTTGAAAAGCGTTGTGAATCGAAACGAGATGGCCACCGCCCATTTTCTTGCAGACGGATCCAGCTGGAGTGAATCCGAGCACTGCAAACGTGTCATCAGATATGATTAATTTAGGCTTGCGATTGTTTTAAATTTTCAACACTACGCATAAACTATACGAATATTTCCAGGGTTTTCACTTGCCTGCCAAAGAAACTTGCTAAAGAAGCTTGCTAAAGAAAATTGCCAAAGAAACTTGCTAAAGAAACTTGCCAAAGAAACTTGCTAAAGAAACTTGCCAAAGAAACTTGCTAAAGAAACTTGCTAAAGAAACTTGCTAAAGAAGCTTGCTAAAGAAGCTTGCTAAAGAAAATTGCCAAAGAAAATTGCCAAAGAAAATTGCTAAAGAAGCTTGCTAAAGAAACTTGCTAAAGAAAACTTTATCCTGGTACTTGTTTATCTCGGATGCGCAAAAATTTGCATAAACGCAAGGAAGATCAACTTGTTTTTCCATACATTTAAAAGAAAAAGGATTGGGGTATGCGAATTGAAAACCATAAGAGAAGTACATAATTACATCACAGCTAACTGTTCATTTACACCGACTAGACATGAGCACTGTAAACTACAAAAATGATGAACTGTCACACTACGAATGCTTCAAATCTAACTAGCTTCAAATCTGCCGAATTGACAAGATCTATAGCTCAAAAAATAGAGAATCTCAAGAGCTTTCGAATGGACTAAAGCACACTCAAAAATATCAATGCTAGAAAAAGTTAAAGTGGTTAGTAGCCTGACTCAGGCTAGTAGATGTGCTTTAGTCCATTCGAAAGCTTTTGAGATTCTCTATTTTTTGAGCTATAGATCTTGTCAATTCTGTAGGTTTGAAGCAGGTTAGAAGCGTTTGTAGTTCACATTTGTAGTGCCCATGTCTAACATCGATCATGTAATGATGTTTGCAATGCAAATGCAATGCAATACAATGACTTGAGTCAACAAGTATCTTGGGGATAATATTGGAGCTGATAGTGAGCTTTCTATAGCGGTATAAAACGGGTTTTGTTCGTTTTATTCAAAACCTACGTTCTTTCACTCCCAGAATACATGCTCTCAAATCGGGATAGTAAACGCCGTCACCGAAACACTTCTGAGCCAATGTAACTTTCAAAACAACAAAAAATAGCAAAAAGAATTTCATCCTTGTTTTCTTATGAAGATTCGTGACTCCATTTTGCCTCTATTTATTTGCTTCCTTGGGGTTTATCAGGTGTTCTTTGAAAGGGAAATTTCGATGTCGTCAGTCTTTCGGCCAAAACGAGGCAAAAGAAAAACCCTTTCCTGGTGCATTTTGTGATAAGAAAATGTCTACAAGATTTTATTAGCTTCTTCTTATTATTGCATCAAAATCGAGGGAAAATGAAATCAAATTTCCTGGCTCTTGACGCGTTTCTTGCAAATTGTGACGGAAAACTGTGTATTTCCATAGTTGAACCAGCTTCCCGATGAGAATTGCACCTCAAAGATGAGCTTTTGTTAGCAAATATTTAAAAGCAACAGCTAAGAATCTATCAAAATGTTTCCGATTTAAAATGAAATGGAAAAGATTTTACGGAAAACCTACTCTTCCCCAAGGGTTTTCTTCAATCCGATTCGGTTCTCTAAGTGCCCAATTCGAGTAATCGAAAGCACTACCATCACTCCAAACCCATTCTTCATCAGCCCACTGAATTATCAAGATATTACTCAATTTTGTCCGGAGAATCCTTGATATTTTTAAGCTCAGACGCTCTGAAACGATGAATAAATAAACAAACACTGTTCTAAGGTAAAAACGAACATTGAGGAGATCTCAATCTCCCTAGACAGTCTCAGATTTTGTTTTATCTCAAAATTGTCCCGGTTCAGTCTCATTATCCCTTCTAATCTCCCGATCAATAAAAAAACCTTAGCTTTGAATAGTACAAGGTCTTCAATAACCCACAATAACCCAGACTCGGTATTTTAAGTATAGCTCACAAGGGAATGACCAGAATTGACGGTGACCGTTTGGGATGAGTGATACCTCATTCGATAGATCTCATGATGAATATTGATGACCAAAAAAATTAGCTGCCAAGAGTCTCTCTACAACGAGAAGTGGAACCGACAAAGAGCAAAAATCACGTTTTTTTTTACCCTCCTTAACAGAGCTGGAACTTATTTTAACAAAAATTTTATGATCATGAACTTTTCAGCGCTAAATCTAGTTTTATTAGGTGACATTTACCTAAAGTTTAAAGATTCACATTTAACAGAAACTGAAAACTGAAAAATTTCGGTTCACAGGGACATCTTTTGACAAGCCACACCTGTTCAACGCAGCCAATTTGTCAAAGGCCCATATAAAAACAAGATTCCCAAAATTTTGCCTAATCGAGTGTACCTTCCGATTCGTTTGCTAATTTTTAAAACGTATTGCAAAAACAAAAGCGTTCAAAGACATGATTTCTTTCGTGTTTTCTGGAAATGAAAAGCTGAAAAGCCGCCAAAAACAAGTGGTTCTATAGGTTCTATAGAAAAAGGCAGAAAAAGTTTCTATTGACACCAAAATGGGTTTCTTTTGAAGAAAGTGCTCAAACTGGGACATCTCCATTCCTTCATTTGTGAGTCTCACACTTCAAACCTAAGAACCCGCCATAGAAAAATATCTAAATTTTCGATTAAAACAAAGCGAGAAATGCTTCCGCATCTAAGTGCTGAGTTACACTTAAAATACCGAGCTTGGGTAATTATTGAACACCCTGTAGGCATTTTGCAGTATTCAATACGGTAGTTTTCTAAACTTATGTACTTTTTAGAAAGCTCTTTAATCAAGAAGAGCGTACACTAGTCAATAAGCGTTAACACCCAAACCTGCAATCCAATCCACGTCCAGTAGTCACCTTGTGAAAGCTCTGAAGTTTGAACAGTTATACAGTAAAACCTCGTCAGTATTAGGTTGGAAAGAAAGTTCTCGGAAAAAGTTTGCACGGTGATTTCTCAAAAACTAGGCCATGAATTCTTCCCAAATTTTTTGATAAACTTGACTATATTTCAAAAAGTTTTTTGACAAAAAAATCACAGGAGGCTTCAGACAAAAAATAAGAGATTTCTTCAGCTGAAGTGACTTGATCACTTTTTGAGTGACCAACCTTTAGACAAGTTTTTAATGGGTTAATAAATAGGCAATGGGTCTCATTCAAAACCTAAAATCAAGTACCCGAATCTAAGTCTTTTTAATATTACCTCAACATATCCTTTTTTGCAGATTCCTCTTTCGTAGTAGGATTTTGGTTTGTGTGTGAGACAAGTGTGAGACTCAAAATGGAGGACTGGAGACGTCCCAGTTTGGGCACTTTCTTCAAAAGAAACCCATTTTGGTGTCAATAGAAAAGTTGTAGAAAATCAAAAATTAGGCTTATAGCCAAATTTCCAAAAAGATACACTTAGTAGTTTCGCTTAAAATGCAACTTTTGTGAAAATTCGTAAATTTGGCATTTCCTGAAAACCCGTTTTTGAATCGTTCTGAAAATTTGCTTAATTTTTGATTCTCTACAACTTTTCTATTGACACCAAAATGGGTTTCTTTTGAAGAAAGTGCTCAAACTGTGACATATGACAATAGCCCGCAGTTTTCAATTCACCAACCCAATATTTACTAACGAGGTTTTACTGTATCACTAAAAACCAAAAAGAACAAAAGTTACGAATCTTTTTTAACCAAGAAAAATTTCTTAAGAAATTTAAAGATGGAGTTTTGAGTTACCGAGAATGAAGTTGTTCTCTTCGCGGCTGTGAATCGACACAAGGTGAGCGTTCTCTCGTTCACAGAGGGCCGCCGATGTGGTCTTGTTAACGGCTTGATTGGCAATCTGAAATTGGCAGAAGCAAGATTAGATGCCTATTTCAATCTATATTCTTGATAAACATAAAATTTGAAAGCTTGAAAGACCTTGTAGCAATATCCATTGAAATACACCCAATTCCCGCGACATTCCATCGAGTTTTTTCTAAATATTCATCTTTATTCATTTACCTTCAAAACTATACAAAGTTGTCTCTAGTTTTGCCACTTTTCCCTCCAAATTCTTCACCGTTACTTGAGAAGCTTTCCTAAAATGTTCTTTGAAATGAAGCTTTGCGAAACAAAAGCTCACAACTCGTTTTGAAGTTTGCTATTGGTTTCCCGAAGATATAACAAACTGAAGGAAATTTTAGCTAGCTTTGATTTCATTTAAACCTTTTATTGAAATCTCCACTCAAAGCCGTGAGCTCACAAGTTTTAACCGCAAGTTCATTGTCTCTAAACAAGAAATTTTTCCTTTTGAATCCTTTTCTTGAATCTCACCTCTCTTTGAGCTTTATATCCAACAATTCGCTAAATTTTGCAATATTTATGATTGTCTAGAAAGATCTCACGATTTTCGTCGGCAAACCGCCAAACGTGCGTCTTCAGGAAGTTCTTCTCTCACAAAATCACCAACTGGAGACTCTCTAAAAAGACAATGAACAAAAACTGTATTAACAAAGAGTTAAAGAAATATTAAAACAAGTTAGTTTGTTTTAATTTATGTAAAAATCGAAGGGATTATGGGATCATGTGAGTTTTGTAAAAGCAACTTGACAGACAACTTCACCAACAACTTCGCTGTCAACTTCACCAACAACTTCACCGACAACTACCGACAACGTCGCTGACAACTTCGCTGTCAACTTCACCAACAACTTTGCTGACAACTTCACCAACAGCTTTGCTGACAACTTCGCAGACAACTTCGCAGAAAACTTCACCAACAACTTCACCGACAACTTCACCAACAACTTCACAGACAGCTTCACCGACAACTTCACCGACAACTTCGCTGACAACTTTGCATACAACTTTGCATACAACTTTGGATAACAATAGCAAAGATAGCAACTAAACCAGAATGGATTCATCTCGGCTAATCTGTTTCTAAAAGATACCAGAGCCCAAAACAACCGTACTCAAACAATCTGTGATGACGAGTCACCAAAAAGCTGCCGGAGTCTAATAAGATACCAGAAATACCGTACCTAAAACAAAATTGCACTCAGAAGCGTATAAAAGCACGCCTCGTTCCCCATTTAGTCAGAATTTTCTGTCTTGTCTTGTCTCTTTTGTCTTGTGAAAGAGAGTTTCTTTTGTTCGAGATACTGCATAATTTTCATTAAAGTGATTCCTTTTTGTCTTTGGATGAAAACATTGTTTCTTTGAGCTTCATTGAAACATTTTCACACTCTTTGCACACTTTCACACCCTTTCATTACGAACACACAATTTCATGTATTGAATAAACTTGGTTTTGTTATTCATTCAAGCAAAAGCGGACTAGTAATTCGTAATACAAAGCAAATTAGTTTTGATACCATCAATTTACATCCGAATGACTCAATTTTGAATTCCAAATGACTCAATTGTCTAAATCTTGAAATTTTTGATCGAATAATCGAATCAATGATTGTATTTGGCTGATTGACATGCGAATGTTACAATTTTAGTAATTTAGAGTTGATTTAACCTACTTTTCCTGATAGTGAGTGGATGAGTCTGCCAGAAGAAGCAAAGCTTTTAAAATTAATAAAAACGATAAAGAAGTCATTTGACAAAACTCTAATAGTTCAATGTTTTGTGTGTAAACTTTGCAAAGAATTGTTTATTTGAGCAAAAAGAGAGGCCAGGAAGGTGCTCGGAACAGAAAAGTATATGAACGTTGACGTCATCGATAGTTTGGAACTTTGACGTCATCAATAATTTTTTTTCAAAAGTATATTACCCACTCAAGATAGCAAAGGCACGAAACTAGGCAAAATTGGCAAGGATAACATTTTGAGCAATTCCAAAAGAAAAAGGTTTGTAGCTGATTAAGAAAAATATCAATAAAGCACTTGTAAATTGATAAAAAGTATGAAAATGAATCACAAAATAAATTTTAGACTTAAAATTGACAAAACTCAAGTCAAAACTCAACTCAAAACTCAGTTTCAATAACTAATCAAAGAGTTCCTCGGTTTCCCTGTAACTCTCGTTCTGCTCAGTTCTGCTCGTTTCGGGAGCTTCAAAAGTTTGGAAGGTCGATTTCGCTGACATATCAAGCTTCACCATATTGGTCTAAAGATTGATGATAGATTGATGAACTTTACCATTTGACTTGTTCTTTCCGACTTGACTTGTTCTTGTTAATCGTATATAATTACGCACTTTGTTAATTGTCTCAAGAGCTTCTGTGATCGCTTCATACTCGCGAAGAGTTTTCTCTCGGAGTTCCACCTCCAATTCCGATTCCTCCATTAAAACGCTTTTATCTTCTCGATCCAAACGAACCAAGAGTTCGGCTTTGAGAAAACCGATCAACTGTAAACTGATTTTGATCTAAATTTATCAAAGACACAAGTCATTGTTGATTTGGTTTTGGGGTTTTGATCATTGTTGACCCTTGACCTCCCGACTTAGCCTGTCGGCTATGGCGGACTGATTTGGTTTTGGGGAAATGTATGAAGGAGAACCTATAAATGGGAAAAAGAACTGGTAATCTAGCCGGAATTGAACCCTTGACCTCCCGACTAAGATACAAGGGCTCTTAGCCAGTCGGCCATGGCCCGCTGATCTAAAGTTAGCAAGACAAGCTGAAAGTCGGCTGAAAGTCTAAAGTTAGCAAGACAAGTTATCTAAAGTTAGCAAAGACAAAAGCCATAATTGATTTGGCTTTGAGGAAACCAATCAACGTAAAGATGATTTTTGTCTAAATCTGGTATGGTTGATTTGACATCATTTTGCTTCTTATCCCTTCCGCAAAGCGTACCTGATCAATCACCACCAACATGATACATTTTAAAACAAGATCCCTGATTGTTTTGGTAACAATCGGTAGATAACCATTCACTAATCCGAGCACTTTCTTGGCCTAAACTTTGAATGATCCTAAAGTTTTTAAAAGCGCCTCAAACCTCAAGAGAATCAGCATTCACCTCGAGCTCTTCGGCCTAAAATTTAAGGATTTAAGGATTCAGGATTTAAGGTCTAAAATTTAAAGTTTTTTCGGGCACTGTAGTGAGACACCCAGTTTGACAAGGTGTGTGAGTTTTAAGCATTTAAATTTTTCCCAGCCAACCTCTAGAGGATCGATCCTCTCGGTTTCGGGATACTCGGGATCGTAAAGTTCATCGTGCTCAATCTAAAGATTAACTTATTAGACCGATGCTTGATTTGAACCAACCGCATCTCTCAAAAGGTGGTTTTGGTCTTGATTTGGTCTCACCATCAAACCATCTCTTCCATTTTGCCTAAATGATCAATAAACAAATCTTCAAAGCTCTAAACACACCCATCATGTGCATTGAAGTCCACATGATTTGTGTTCATATACGAGAGTTCACAATCAAACATGAAACTGATTTGAGTCTTCGCGTATTTCTCCTTTTCCAAAAGCTCAGTGCTTGCAATTTTCTCGATCTCGTTGCGGAGACGTGGGTAGGTTTTGATCTGGAAAGAGATTACAGCTATGGCTCAAACTTGAGTTGATTGTTTGCATTACTAATTTAACAATGTAAGCTTTCAGGCTTGCTTATTGTTAGCTCAAAAGCTCAAGGCTTGCTTATTGTTAGCTTATTGTTAGCTTTTAAGTTTACGTTTAAGTACAGCTGTTTAAGGCGCCTTTTTCTCAACGCACCGATGCTGCAGCTTCCTTGATCGTTGTCGAAACCTCACTGGCAACGAGTTTCACACAGTTCTGTGCGGGAAAACGAAGCGATTCGATGAGTTCCTTGGTGATGATCCGGAAAGCCTTATCGGGGATGAAATGCCCAACACTGAAAATATTTATTATACAGTATATAAGGAATATTTTGAAGTATAATTATTATTATGTAAAGAAAGTTCAGAAGGTTCAACACACCCTTTTAGCTTTATGTAATATGTTTTATGATTATATTAGGTTGGTGAATTGAAAACTGCCGGCTATTGACATATATGACAGTTTGAGCACTTTCTTCAAAAGTTTTTGAAGATCTAACAAAAATTTTATGATCATGAACTTTTCAGCGCTATTAGGTTACATTTACCTAAAGTATAAAGACATGATCAAAAATTTACAGAAAAACTTAGTCATGCCAAAACTTACTGTACTCCGTGCACATTCTCAATAGTGATTTGAATTTTCCGTTTCATTTCCGGTGTCAAAAAGTTAGCCAAATCAATTTGGGCCGGGATTTTTTTATGGAAAATTCGATTGATGTAGGCTCCACGGGTCAATTTCTTCGTGGAAACGATTTGCGAGCAAGATCCATCAATGGCTGCTTCGACGTCGTGGATGAACTGTTGAACGATTTTATTTCTTCTAAATTAAAGATGTTTGATCAATTGAATTCAAATTAAGTTAAAGATTAGATTTAAATTTTTCAACTTTTCAACTTAAAGTTCAGTTGCTAGCAAAATTTCCCACGTTGTCAACATCTTTGACTCTCCTCTGTCATCAAATTGTTGACTCAAATACTTTAACGCTTCAGGCTCCACATCAGCGAACCGTTGAAGCAATGATTTTCGGAATTTAGGCAAGCTGTCACTAAAATGAATTAATTATGAAAGGAAAACTTGTTAATTGCAATCTCAAATTCCCTACCGAATATGTTCCATCAATTGTTGATTCAACGCTTGCTGAAGGTAAGGAGTGCCATGTTTGTTTGTGAGGTGTCTAAACATTTGTCTCCTTCTTGAATAGTTTAACTTTCAAACCGGTAAGCTGGATGTTGTGCGAAGAATTTTTTCTCTTGGTCCAAGCAATACTTGATGTTCTTTTTCTCATTGATATCCTTTTGAGATCGATTCACGACGCCAATGTAGCCTAAAGCGTTAGGTTGCCAACTAAATCATCACCAAAAATTGATTTTACAAATGTTGAATGCACCAAATGAGGTACGTTTTGCAACATTTGAAAAATCTATATTTCCTCTGCAAAATGGGTGTTGGAAATTCAGAAAAGCTTGCGTTTTTGGGGTTTTTCGGGAGCGCAAAGGCGACTAGGCAAAATTGGCGAGAATCGACGGTAGGCAACTTTTTGATGGGAACTGATACTAACTTTCTATGATAAAGAAAGATATTCAATCGGTTATTCAATCGGAAAGATCAATCCGATCAAGGATTATTGTTTATCTCTCCGCCCTTCCGCCCAAAAAAGAAACCAAGCATTCGGTGGACTGAAATTTCCCCCACCCACATCCCCCACTAATCCTCTGCTGCGCTTCGCTGGTGCAGTGAAATGCTAATTTGGTTTCTGGTTTCGCATTGTCTGTTTAGATTCTTTTAGCTTAGATTGTTTTGATTCTTTTAGTTTAGATTCTTTTAGTTTAGATTCTTTTAGTTTAGATTGTTTAAATGCTTTTAGTTTAGACAATTGCTATCGTTTTAGGTTAGATTATTTAGATTCATTTAGTTTAGAAAATTGGTTTTTCCTTTTAATTCTTATGCAAATTTTTCTTGCTTAATACTATGAAGAGATGAGAGCCCCACTCCAATGTTATATTCAAATTCATAAATGAAAATTTTTGCATGGGGTTTTGGATGTTTCAAGTTTGAGCCTTTTAACTGGTCCACTCAAATCTGTTTTTGAGGCGTACTTTGTACTCAAGAATGGAAACGCACCCATTTTGTGCACTCATTGTATTATTGAGTACGTCAGAAAAGATGCGTTTCTGTTTTTTTAGCACAAAGTAAACCCAGAAACCTTCTTTATGTGCTCACAAATGGATTAAGTGCATCAAAAACTTGTGTTTACATTCTTGAGCAAAAAGTATACGTAGTTCCCAACTCTAATCACTTTTCTATACCTCTCTTCAATGGACAGGCTCCTCGATTCTCCAGAATATCCCTTGCATCTGTCCCTTTATCCATCAAATCGATCTTCGTCAACACTCCAATTGTTCGATTGCCCTCTGGATCAACTTCTTTAGCGATTTTCAGCGCATCCGAGTTCGCTAAATCCTGGTTTGCTGGGGTGACAGCCAAGATGAGACATGAATCATCTTTGATGTAATTCAAGATCATGTCTCGGATCTGCTCTTCAATGTCTTCGGATTGGCCTTCGATTGCAATCTAAAATGGTTTGAAATGTATTTGAAATGTAATCGGTCAGAAGCAAGATTCAGAGACTTTTAGCTAATGAGAACCGTAAGAAAGTCAATCCGATCAAGTAAGGCAGTTCTTCCCGCTCTCAGAAGCGCTTTCTTCCGGCAATCCCGCTCTCAGAACTTTAGATTTACCAGGGTGCCGAATTTCTAGCAACAATACAGCCGAATACGGGGCAAGAATAGATCCGAGAGATTTGGGAATGGTGGCACTCAAAACCCCGAAACCGCCTATTCAGCGCTTCTTCCCCTTCGAGGTTTCCAAAAGACCCTATACCCGATGGGTTTGCCAGACGGCGAACGATTACACAAAGAACACCGCGCCAGTCACTTTACACAGTTATTTTTGTTCTGTAAATGATTCCCAAATAAGATTTAGTGTTAAAAAAATGTGCCCCGGGGATCTCAGGGTCGTAGAACCTATTGGTGGAGTTTATTTTAATCCATTTCCCCGAGAAAAGTCCCAAGAAAATCGAATTAGCTTTGGGTTTTGCATTTGATAGCTTTTCACAATGAAAAGACCATTATTTTTTCAAAAGACCCGGATCTCCGAGAAGAAACAAGAAGGCAAGGCTGTGACCTGATTTCTGGCCAAAATACCCAAAAAGGAAGCTTCTACATGTTAGTTGGCTACTATACTGCAAAAAACCAAGGATCTAGTTTCTAGAGCTGTTCATTTTCTGTCTGACTTTCAAAGGTGTAAAACAAAAAAATGGGTTTGGAGCACTTTACCAGCAAATTTTTCAGGCATTTTTCAGACTAAAAGACAAAACTTCGAAAACTACCTTTATGTGGCAAGAAATCCTGAAAAAGTTGCCATTAAAGTGGTCAAATCCCGTTATTCCGTTACACCTATTGACAAAGAGACCGAAAATGAACAACTCCACTAGTTTCTACTCACATGATGCTTTTCAGGTGAGAAAAAGTCGTGCTAAAGCTTTAGATCTTGCACTGATGTTGGCTTAAACAGACCTTGATAATCCCCGGCAAATCGATGAGAGTCAAATTAAGCACATGTGGTGAATGAACTTCAAGGGTGATCGGAGTGGAAGAGATGTTCTTTGATCCATTCGTGATTCTCATTGTTTCATCGTCGATCTCTTTTCTCACTTGATCGAAATCGGTAAAAATCTTGTCTTCTTTGTGTTGGAAACGGGCAAATTCTAGATTGATTTTAGGGAATTTTTAACTTTTGTTTGTTACCAGTTTGATCTTGGATGAGTTTTAAGATCAGTGGAACTCGAGTGACGATTCCATTGCCTCGAGGAAGGAAATCTCTGTAAACAAAACTGACTAATAGAATTGCATTTTATACTCATTGACTCATTTCTTGCGCTTATCAGTAGCGGCTGTTTGTCCCGCTTTACCTTGCTTACTTGAAAAATTGCTCAATGCAATTAGTAAAATGATTGCTTAACAGAAACGAGTTTCTCAATTCTTTTAGTTTTTTTAAACATGATTAGTCTTTAACTGAGTTCTTCCAGAAGTTTCCAAACCAACCTTCCAACTAAACTCTCCAACACCGAAGACTTTCCCGAGCTTTGCCCACCAACAACCGCGATTCTCGGGAGTTCGAATGACTCGGAAGAGCCAGCTTTGTTCAAGACATCCTGAAACAAGATTTAGATTAAAAGGAAACTTAGCATTTAGTTGTAAGCACTCATTTACCTGAACTTTGTTCGTGACTGGGATGAGTGACTGCATTCCAGCGTTATTCCATGTCATCCGGTTCCCATTGTTCTCGTTTTCCGTGAACGGCGCCATTCTAAAGAACTTTTTTTGAGGTAAAAATATTGCTTTTCTACTTTAACATTTAAATATTTTATATAATTATTTTAAAAATCCTTAAATATTGTCAAGAATCAAGTCAAGAAGTTTGAAAGAAAAAGAAGAAAGAAAGAAAGATGTTTTTCTCGAATTGTATGAAAGCATTTTCCCAAGTCTTACAAATAGAACGTTTTCAAAAACAGGAAGAGTTAAGAATAGCTAATTTTAAGTGAAGATTTTGGCGCTTGCATTCTAGATGGATTTAGGTGCTTCATTTCTGTTTGGCAATGTATCCAAGAAGTTAGGTGACTTTAAAATTAATGCCTAGGATCAATTGTAAAATTTCAAAAGTAGAAAAGCTTTATAGGTATAAAGAATACGAAAAAAACCAGGGAATCTGGAAAATCTGGAAAAACCGGAAAATCAACGTGAATCCCAATGCCAATTCTAATTGAGAATAAAAATTTCTGGGTTAACCCAATGAGTTGAAATGATAGCTATCTCCTTTCGATCCTCATTTTATACCCTTGTCGCTTCTCCTTTTTTCGAACAGTTGCTATCTTATTCACTGCTTGAGAGGGCCACGTTGCCAAATTGCAACAGAAAATTGTATTTATTGAATAAGAAAATTTGGGCAAAAGCTTGCAACACATATTTTGAAAGAGCCAACTTTGAGATCAGGCCATTTTTGAGGGCGAACCAGTAAAATGAGTCAAATTTCAAGTCAAATAAACAATTTCGAATAGTACAAAGTACAGGAATAACAAAGCTATTGTAAAGTTAAAATTTTTGATTCACTACATGATTTGCAGGAGATTTCCCTTAAACAAACAAATCAATTGGTTATATTTGCATTTAAAATTTTAATCAATTAATCGAGGTGCTAGCAAGAGCGCCGCGTATCATTTTCGTCATAAATTTTTGCGCTAAATTTACGCTTATGTGTAAAAAAAACTGAAAAAATCTGTAAAAAAAATCACTTTTCCCCAACACTTCTAACGAACTTTTTTTCATTTTTCTGCTTCACAATTTTAATTCACACTGTTTTCAATTAGAAAACACGTTTAAATACCTATAGAGACCCCAAAAAAGCAGTCATTTTTGTGTTCCCGATTGAGCTTTCTGCTCTTTATATATGTCGTAGCCGTTTACGAAATTCAGCCGCTAACGAATGAGGGTATTTCCGGGCATCCAATCAAAAAGTCACCCACATGAAAAAGGTTCATAATAAATTTTTGAAATTAGCTCATTTGGTCATTAGAAAATTTTTTTGACCTCCCCAAAGTTTAGGTTCAAAAATGCCTTAAAATCTTTATAAAAATTTTCTACTCAGCCAAAAAACTTGCCTAATAGCTCATTTTGTAGCCAATTTGATGTAGATTCTTAAAGTAAAGCTACATTAAACATTTGTTTTTCAAAGCTAGGAGAAAGAGGGCGAGGAACGACTTCAGTTGAACTCGGTCGCTGTTTTCACATTTGAGAATTGCCTTGAATTTGTTCCTCGCCCTCTTTCTCCTACTTTCAACGAAAAATTGTTTTAGATGGCTTTACTTTAAGAATCTACATCCAATTGGCTACAAAATGAGCTATTAGGCAAGTTTTTTGGCTGAGTAGAAAATTTTTTATAGCCATTTTAGGGCATTTTTGAACCTAAACTTTGGGGGCTTAAAAAATTTTTTCTACTGAACCAAATGAGCTAATTTCAAAAATTTATTATAAAATATATGTATTATGAACATTTTTTTTATGTGGGTGACTTTTTGATTGGATGCCCGGAAATACCCTCATTCGTTAGCGGATGGATTTCGTAAACGGCTACGACATATAGATTTTATACCATTTTCAGAACCGGCAAAGTAGCGAGCATTGTCGACGAGAAAAAAATGGGAAAAAATAAAAATAAACAATCAGAGTTGGTAGGAAAGCGCGTTAAAAAAAAGGAAATTTGATACGATAGGCAAATGATAAATATTCGGTAAATATTCGGTTGGGGAGAATGAAATGGCGACGAACTTTCAAGCCATTTTTTGCACGCATAAAGCCTTTTTTTAAAATACACATTTTGTTTCATCAGAAGAGTCCTCTATCTCTCTACAAAATGACTTCTAAGAGATTCCACAAAGCTTTTCTTTTGTAGAGTTTATCGACTCCGAAACACAGCTAGTCAAAATAGTAGAGTCTGACTCATTGTTTGAACAGTTTCTTCCAGATAAACCTCTTTTAGTCTCCAATAAAAAAGATAGAGCACACTCAATTGCATAAGTTGACAAATTTTCAGCAAGATCTCTCCAACCGTTTTCTCTAGATGACAGTTTATAGATTTTGCGAAAAAATGGCCTTTTGTTGAGCTGAGGCGCTGTTTGGGTTCTCTTTTAAACGTCATTTTGTTGAAAATTAGCTAACCTTTCTACTGATTTCAAACGCGTAACATTTGTAGAAGTCTACTTTCTTTTTCTTTGAAATTTCTTTGATTTCCGCCGCCATTTCATTCACGAGCTCGCAACAAAGATAAGAAACAGCCGACTATTTAGAAGTGCCTGCCATAGCATGTACATTGGCCCTATATTTAAAAGATTACTGATCAAAAAAAGTGATTTTCTTATTCAATAAATTCAATTTTCTGTTGCAATTTGGCCCTCTCAGGGAGTGAATAAGACCGCAACTGTTCGAAAAAAGGAGTAGCGATCAGCGGTATAAAATGAGGAGATCGAAAGGAGATCACTATCATTTCAACTCATTGGGTTAACCCACAAATTTTTATTCTCAATTAGAATTAGCATTGGGATTCACGTTGATTTTCTAGATTTCCTGGTTTTTTCGCATTCTTTATAACTCTATACCTTTATATCTTTATACCTAAAGTCACCTAACTTCTTGGATACATTGTCAAACAGAAACGAAGTACCTAAATCCACCTAGAACTGCTAGAGGACAAGATTTTAACTTAACAAGATTAGCTATTCTTAGCTATCGTTTCAGCTCATTGGGTTAACCCACAAATTTTTATGCTCAATTGGAATTGGCATTGGGACTTACGTTGATTTTCCGGTTTTTCCAGATTTTCCAGATTTCCTGGTTTTTTTCGTATTCTTTATACCTATAAAGCTTTTCTACTTTTGAAATTTTACAATTGATCCTAGGCATTAATTTTAAAGTCACCTAACTTCTTGGATACATTGCCAAACAGAAACGAAGTACCTAAATCGATCTAGAACTGCTAAATGACCAGATTTTAACTTAGCACTAGCTATTCTTAAATTCTCCTGTTTTTGAAAACGGTCTGTTTGTAAGGGTTGGGAAAATGCTTTCATACAATTTGAGAAAAACATCTTTCATTCTGGTTTTTTCTTGACCTCTTTCAAAAGTTCAAAAGTAAATTTTGATTTTTGACTATATTAAAGCATTTCTAAAATAATTATATTAAATATTTAAATATTAAAGCATAAAAGCAATATTTTTAAAAAAGTTCTTTAGAATGGCGCCGTTCACGGAAAACGAGAACAATGGGAACCGGATGACATGGAATAACGCTGGAATGCAGTCACTCATCCCAGTCACGAACAAAGTTCAGGTAAATGAGTGCTTACAACTAAATGCTAAGTTTCCCTTTAATCTAAATCTTGTTTCAGGATGTCTTGAACAAAGCTGGCTCTTCCGAGTCATTCGAACTCCCGAGAATCGCAGTTGTTGGTGGGCAAAGCTCGGGAAAGTCTTCGGTGTTGGAGAGTTTAGTTGGAAGGTTGGTTTGGAAACTTCTGGAAGAACTCAGTTAAAGACTAATCATGTTTAAAAAAACTAAAAGAATTGAGAAACTCGTTTCTGTTAAGCAATCATTTTACTAATTGCATTGAGCAACTTTTCAAGTAAGCAAGATAAAGCGGGGCAAACAGCCGCTACTGATAGGTGCAAGAAATGAGTCAGGTCCATTAGATAATGATTCGAAACGATTAGATAATGAACACCATTGCAGGAGACATGCTTAAGATTTATTTCCAGAAAAATCAGAACTATTGACTGAATTTTGGCCAATCTAGGCCTTCCGAAGTGCGGCGCTATAATTGCCATCATGTCCATTTTCTATTACCGTATTTTCTGTAATAGTAGTGCGCACTACTATTTTTTCAAACCCCCTCCAGCCCGCACTACTATTACAGAAATTACGGTAGTCCATTTTCTAATCAGCTTCTGCACTAAAGCAAATGCCAAGATTGTTTTATAGTTACAAAGGTTTAAAAAAAGATTAGTGGCGAGAAAAGTGGACAATACTGATAAGCTTGAAGTGAAAATGGAAAAATCATTGAAGTTTTATGTTGAAGTTCATAAATGAGTCAGTAAAATGAAAGCTACTTGAACATATTCATAAAAGAACGATTTGATCAAATTTAAAAGCCAAAAACTGAATTAAAATCTTATTTTTTAAGAACAAGCCAACATTTGAGGCCTTCAACTTTTAACAATTCAGAGATTTCCTTCCTCGAGGCAATGGAATCGTCACTCGAGTTCCACTGATCTTAAAACTCATCCAAGATCAAACTGGTAACAAACAAAAGTTAAGAATTCCCTAAATTCAATCTAGAATTTGCCCGTTTCCAACACAAAGAAAACAAGACTTTTACCGATTTCGATCAAGTGAGAAAAGAGATTGAAGATGAAACGATGAGAATCACGAATGGATCAAGGAACATCTCTCCCATTCCGATCACCCTTGAAGTTCATTCGCCACATGTGCTCAATTTGACTCTCATCGATTTGCCGGGGATTATCAAGGTTTGTTTAAGCCAGCATCAGCGCAAGATCTAAAGCTTTAGCACGACTTTTTCTCACCTGAAAAGCATCATGTGAGTAGAAACTAGTAGAGCTGTTCATTTTCGTTTTCATTGTCAATAGGTGTTAAAGGAACAACGAGATTTGACCACTTTAATGGCAACTTTTTCAGGATTTCTTGCCACATAAAGGTAGAGTTTTCGAAGTTTTGTCTTTTAGTCTGAAAAATCCCTGAAAAAGTTGCTGTTAAAGTGCTCAAAATCCATTTTTTGGTTGTACACCTATTGAAAATCAGGCAGAAAATGAACAGCTCTAAAAACCAGATCCTTGGTTTTGCAGTATAGTAGCCAACTGACATGTAGAAGCTTCCTTTTTGGGTATTTTGGCCAGAAATCAGGTCGCAGCCTTCTCGGAGATCCGGGTCTTTTGAAAAAATAATGGTCTTTTCATTGTGAAAAGCTATCAAATGCAAAACCCAAAGACAATTCGATTCCCTTGTGACTTTTCTTGGGACAAAGGATGAAAATAAACTCCACCAATAGGATCTAGGACCCTGAAATCCCCGGGGTACATTTTTTTAACACTAAATCTTATTTGGGAATCATTTACAGAACAAAAATAACTGTGTAAAGTGCAAACCCATCGGGCATAGGGTCTTTTGGAAACCTCGAAGGGGAAGAAGCGCTGAATAGGAGGTTTCGGGATGGTGAGTGCCACCATTCTCAAATCTCTGGGATCTATTCTTGCCTCATATTCGGTTGTATTTTTGCTAGAAATTCGACATCCTGCAAATCTAAAGTTCTGAGAGCCGGATTGCCGGAAGAAAGCGCTTCTGAGAGCCGGAAGAACCGCCTCACTTGATTGGATTGACTTTCTTACGGTTCTGATTAGCTAAAAGTCCCTGAATTTTGGTTCTGACCGATTAAATCAAATACATTTCAAACCATTTTAGATTCCAATCGAAGGCCAATCCGAAGACATTGAAGAGCAGATCCGAGACATGATCTTGACTTACATCAAAGATGATTCTTGTCTCATCTTGGCTGTCACCCCAGCAAATCAGGATTTAGCGAACTCGGATGCGCTAAAAATCGCTAAAGAAGTTGATCCAGAGGGCAATCGAACAATTGGAGTGTTGACGAAGATCGATTTGATGGATAAAGGGACAGATGCAAGGGATATTCTGGAGAATCGAGGAGCCTGTCCATTGAAGAGAGGTATAGAAAAGTGATTAGAGTTGGGAACTACGAATACTTTTTGCTCAAGAATGTAAACACAAGTTTTTGATGCACTTAATCCATTTGTGAGCACATAAAGAAGGTTTCTGGGTTTACTTTGTGCTCAAAAACAGGTTTGAGTGGACCAGTTAAAGGGCTCAAACTTGAGACATTTTGACAAATTTTTCAACAAGAATTGGTTTTACTTTTTTACGTAAAATAAAGATATAGATTTTCTAGATTTTCAGTAGAATTTTCAACCAAATCCGTTCAGCCATTTTTTCTAAATTTTGGGTTGAATAAAAGTCTTCAAATAAAGGAATTTGATCATAGGAGGCGCTCTGGATGACTTGAAATTTGTGGAAAACGTCTGGATCGATTTTACTGGGAATTTTACTAAAAATGGAACAGAAATTGATTGGTACTTACCGGTGATCTCCCCTTCCCCCATCAAAAAAGTTGCCAACCGTCGAAAAAGTCCTCACCAATTTTGCCTACTCGCCTTTGCGCTCCCCAAAAAAACCCGAAAAACGCAAGCTTTTCTGAATTTTCAACAACCATTTTGCAGAGGAAACATAGTGGTGAAATCGAATGGTACCTCATTTTGTGCATTTAACACTTGTAAAATCAATTTTTAGTGATGATTTAGTTGGCAACCTAACGCTTTAGGCTACATTGGCGTCGTGAATCGATCTCAAAAGGATATCAATGAGAAAAAGAACATCAAGTATTGCTTGGACCAAGAGAAAAAATTCTTCGCACAACATCCAGCTTATCGGTTTAAAAGTTAAACTATTCAAGAAGGAGACAAATGTTTAGACACCTCACAAACAAACATGGCACTCCTTACCTTCAGCAAGCGTTGAATCAACAATTGATGGAACATATTCGGTAGGGAATTTGAGATTGCAATTTGAGATTGCAATTAACAAGTTTTCCTTTCATAATTAATTCATTTTAGTGACAGCTTGCCTAAATTCCGAAAATCATTGCTTCAACGGTTCGCTGATGTGGAGCCTGAAGCGTTAAAGTATTTGAGTCAACAATTTGATGACAGAGGAGAGTCAAAGATGTTGACAACGTGGGAAATTTTGCTAGCAACTGAACTTTAAGTTGAAAAGTTGAAAAATTTAAATCTAATCCTTAACTTAATTTGAATTCAATTGATCAAACATCTTTAATTTAGAAGAAATAAAATCGTTCAACAGTTCATCCACGACGTCGAAGCAGCCATTGATGGATCTTGCTCGCAAATCGTTTCCACGAAGAAATTGACCCGTGGAGCCTACATCAATCGAATTTTCCATAAAAAAATCCCGGCCCAAATTGATTTGGCTAACTTTTTGACACCGGAAATGAAACGGAAAATTCAAATCACTATTGAGAATGTGCACGGAGTACAGTAAGTTTTGGCATGACCAATTTTTTCTGTAAATTTTTGATCATGTCTTTGAAATAGGGTTTATTTATTAAAACGATCTATGATCATAAAACATATTACATAAAGCCAAAAGGGTGTGTTGAACCTTCTGACTTTCTTTACATAATAATACTTCAAAATATTCCTTATATGCTGTATAATAAATATTTTCAGTGTTGGGCATTTCATCCCCGATAAGGCTTTCCGGATCATCACCAAGGAACTCATCGAGTCGCTTCGTTTTGCCGCACAGAACTGTGTGAAACTCGTTGCCAGTGAGGTTTCGACAACGATCAAGGAAGCTGCAGCATCGGTGCGTTGAGAAATCGTCGCCTTAAGCAGCTGTACTTAAACGTAAACTTAAATGCTAAAAATAAGCTAACAATAAGCAAGCCCTGAGCTTTTGAGCTAACAATAAGCAAGCCTGAAAGCTTACATTGTTAAACTAGTAATGCAAACAATCAACTCAAGTTTGAGCCATAGATGAGATCTCTTTCCAGATCAAAACCTACCCACGTCTCCGCAACGAGATCGAGAAAATTGCAAGCACTGAGCTTTTGGAAAAGGAAAAATACGCAAAGAGTCAAATCAGTTTCATGTTTGATTGTGAACTCTCGTATATGAACACAAATCATGTGGATTTCAATGCACATGATGGGTGTGTTTAAAGCTTTGAAGATTTGTTTATTGATCATTTAGGCAAAATGGAAGAGATGGTTTGATGGTGAGACCAAAACCAACTCAAGACCAAAACCACCTTTTGAGAGATGCGGTTGGTTCCAAACAAGCATCGGTCTAATAAGTTAATCTTTAGATTGAGCACGATGAACTTTACGATCCCGAGTATCCCGAAACCGAGAGGGTCGATCCTCTAGAGGTTGGCTGGGAAAAATTTAAATGCTTAAAACTCACACACTTTGTCAAACTGGTTGTCTCACTACAGTACCCCAAAGAAACCTTAAAATTAGGCCCTCAAATCCTTAATTTTTAGACCTTAAATCCTTAAATTTTAGACCGAAGAGCTCGAGGTGAATGCTGATTCTCTTGAGGTTTGAGGCCCTTTTAAAAACTTTAGGATCATTCAAAGTTTAGGCCAAGAGAGTGCTCGGATTAGTGAATGGTTATCTACCGATTGTTACCAAAACAATCAGGGATCTTATTTTAAAATGTATCATGTTGGTGGTGATTGATCAGGTACGCTTTGCGGAAGGGATAATGAGCAAAATGATGTCAAATCAACCTTACCAGCCCTAGACAAAAATCGGCTTTATTGGTTTCCTCAAAGTCAAATCAATTATGGCTTTTGTCTTTGCTAACTTTAGAAACTGTTTTTTTCTTTAGATAACTTATCTTGCTAATATTAGACTTTCGATCAGCCGGCCATGGCCGACTGATCGACAATCAACAATGACCAAAACCCCAAAATCAAATCAACAATGACTTCTGTCTTTGATACATTTAGATCAAAATCAATTTACAGTTGATCGGTTTCCTCAAAGCCGAACTCTTGGTTCGTTTGGATCGAGAAGATAAAAGCGTTTTAATGGAGGAATCGGAATTGGAGGTGGAACTTCGAGAGAAAACTCTTCGCGAGTATGAAGCGATCACAGAAGCTCTTGAGACAATTAACAAAGTGCGTAATTATATACAATTAACAAGAACAAGTCAAGTCGGGAAGAACAAGTCAAATGGTAAAGTTCATCAATCTATCATCAATCTTTAGACCAATATGGTGAAGCTTGATATGTCAGCGAAATCGGCCTTCCAAACTTTTGAAGCACCCGAAACGAGCAGAACTGACCGCGAGAGTTACAGGGAAACCGAGGAAATCTTTGATTAGTTACTGAATTCACATACTTCTCGTCATTGATTCATCTCTTCTGAACAATGAAAATGATCCCTTTTGCAAATTTTGATCAGCCTTACATTTCTGTCTTTTTTATCTGTCTCACTCGTCAACTTTGTCGTTTTTTGAGTGCTTGTTCTTTGAGTCAATAAAAATTGTACACGAGTTAGCTTTAAACAAACAAATCAATAAACAAAAAGTAACAAACAAATAAACAAAAAGTAAACTAGTGAGATCCCGAATGTAAAACGTGAAATGGACAAAAAGTAAGCTGACCGCGTCAAACCTTTTTCGTTTTTCAAGTTGAGCTATGGCAAAGGTAGTTGAATTTGATTTGATTTGGCAAAGGAATTTGATGTATTTGATGATGAAAGTTCAGGAATTTGATGAACTCCATTTCAGGAAATTTAGTGGTCATGGATGTTACGTTGAAAAGTCAATTTTTCTGGTCGCAAACTTATCTTTGGAACTAGGGCAGATCAAAAGCTCGTGCGCCGCCCGGGCTTGAACCCGCGTTAAATGAAATGAAATCTTTAAATGAGAAATTTTTTTACTCTACTGAAGACGAATTTACACGGTTTTTCGAAATTTATTTATCTAAATAAAGTTTTGTTATCTAAAATTTCCCTAAACTTTTTCATTTGATGGATAGATCTTTTGACGAAAGTTGCAAAGAAACTTCCAATGACCGGTTTCTCTGAAATTTTCCTTTCAATCAAAAGTGAAAGCAAGCTTACTGGTGTGTTTGTTTCCGCTTTCCAGGTGGACATTCCCATTGATTTCGATAGTTTTCGAAATAGAGATCGTTTGCCTCGAGTTCCTTTTTCATCAAGTCTTTCGATTGGTTGAGTCGACTCTTTTCTCGGCTGTGAATGATCCAGAAAATCAACAGGGGCGAAATGGCGACAAAGTAGGTTGGAGTCTGGAATTTCTTTAGTACAGCGTGACCAAGAATTACCGCAACAACGTCGTATTATGTTATGAGCCCTATTTCACTTTTTGCTTACCTGTTTTTATGGTTTTTGTGTATTTTTCTTATTTGATCGTATAATTACTAACTTTCAATACATTAGTATCGTTGTTTTCAGGAATGGTGAAAGCGTTTCCACATCGATCGACATCGACAATCGATCCTTGAGCTCAAGCGGCAGCGTGTTCAGGCGAGCGAGAGCTCAAAGCGTCTGAATGTTCCCAGAAATCTCGTTTCTTGAACTATTCAATATTATGAAACTCTGGGCACAGTTTCTGATCGCCCTGGAAGTGTGCCGGCTCAAGGCACCTTCTCGGACTTCATCTCGTTTTTTGAGCGGCCACCCAGCTCACCCGATCTTAACCCATTGGATTACTCAGTCTAGAGTGTTCTTGAAGGCAGGGCATGTGCAAAACCACATAAAAATATCAAAAGTTTGAAGAAGGCGCTCATCAAATCATGGGATATCCTCGATGATGCCTATTTGATAGGCTCAGGCTCAGGCTCTCTCCAAAACCTCATTACTTCAATTCCAAAACGCATTTTTCAAGTAATTAATCGTTCTAGTGCGTGTATAGATTATTACTTTTCATTTTCCCTTTTTATTGTTAAATTTTGTCGATAAATATAACTGCGCTTAAGATTGGCTCTTGGGAGCTAATCTAGCAAAAAGGTACGTAAAAACTGAACAGCCTGTAGAGTGTTTTCTAAAAAACGCCTCCTGTCGAAAATCACCGTAATAAACTGCCAGTTTTCATTTAATTAGGCTATTTTTGGGTATTATCTGATGAGAAATCACAAAATCTAGTAAATGATGCCAAAATTGGGTTAATCGAATGTAAACTGGCTATTCGATTACGGTAGTTTTCTAAAAAGTGTTCGCTGGGGACAAAGCTGAAAAGCTAGTAACAGAAAAGTAACAGAGATTGTTGTAATTTAAAAGTCAAGCTCGAAAATTATTTGTTTCTCGATCAATCCAAAACCCACAAAAATATAGCCAGTCCCGGCTGCGTACGAAACTTCGTCGAGCAATTTTACAAAAATCGATCGATACGCTATGCCGAGGAACTGATAGGCAATAAAGGAAACCGCATGTAAAGCACTGAAAATGAGTACAGATGCTAATACAGATTGTACAGATGCTAATACAGATTGTTCGCTGAAAGTTTTCTTCTACCTGTATGGAAGAAAGAGTTTCCATGTCTCCACGATCTGTCGACGAGCCATGTTTACGGAGATGTCGAATGAGCGTTTCATCCTAAATTGCAAACTTTAAAATTCATCTAGGAGGCCATTAAGAACTCATCTAGGAGGCTATTAAGAATTCATCTAGGAGGCTATTAAGAATTCATCTAGGAGGCTATTAAGAAATTTAGTAGTCATGGATGTTACGTTAAAAAGTCAATTTTTCTGGTCGCAAACTTATCTTTGGAACTAGGGCAGATCAAAAACCCGTGCGCCACCCGGGCTTGAACCCGAGACCTTTCGCTTACTGAGCGATTGTCCTAACCATTACACCACGATGCACTTGATGTTTCTTACTCTAGAGGGAGTTAACTTTATTGTTAGCTTTTAGCTACATACAGGCTGACACAAAAGTTCGGAGCCCCGTCGGAGCCGTTCGGAGCCGTTCGGAGCCCCGTCGGAGCCCCGTCGGAGGTCCAAAAGAAGATTTTTTGAAAAACAGTCTAGAAAATCGAAATCTAGATGAAATTTCGGTCCAGAAATTTTTCCGCAAAAACAGAATTTTCTCATCGAATATACCGACCTATTTTCTGTGAAACAACAGTTAAAATTTGAAATCCGATTACGACTCGCCAACTTTTTAGAGCTA